CTCCCGTGAGCTCCGGCACAGCCCGTTCCCAGCAAGGCGCTCACCTGGCACCGGAGGGGAGGCTAGTGGAGATCTGGTCGTCGGCTGGGATGGTGTTTCCGCAAGGGCTGCTGGCGGAGACGGGGCTGGGGCGCAGCACCCTCACCCTCACCTCCTGCCAGGGCTCTGGGTGCTGCCAGCAGAGATGGAGCCGTGTCAAAAAGCCTCACCATCCAGCAGTCCCCACCACCACCTCCCAATTGGGTGACACAGCCCATCGCCGGCTTCACCATCTGGTGCTCACCTGGGGCTCATAGCGGATGATCACGTCGTACTCGGTGGAGAAAGGCACGTCGCTCACGTGAAACTCCACCCAGCCACCTTCCAGCATGCGGGCAAAGCCCGTCCCCGTCCATGAAGCTGGGTGGTCTGTGGGGGGCTCACGCTCCACTACCGAGCCCTGGTGCAAGGTGGGGTTGTGAGATGGGACCCCCAAAATTGCCTTGGCAGGCAGGCACCGCTCTGCTGCGCTGCCCCAACCGGGCAGAGCGGTACCTGCTGGCTTGAGGACCCTGCAAAGAGCCACCCGGTGCCCTGCTCTGCCTGATGCCCCCACTCAGGGACACTTTCATCCCTGACCTGATGCAGCCGAGCATCCTCAGCCTCGTAGGTGTAATGGTCCAGGTTGATGCGGTAGAAACCAGGCTCCACCTGGCCGCACTGTCGTCCCACCACGTGGCTGCGGCACTGGCACTGCCCCGTCTCCACAGCACACCTGACACCCCGGCAGCACCATCAGCCCCGGTGCCAGCAGGGACGCCCCTCACCCCGTGTCCCCGCGAAGGTTCCCACTCACAGGTTGTCACGGGCACCTCCCACGTCGCAGTCGCAGGGTCGGCAGCCCGGGAGGTCGTGGCTCAGCCCCCAGTGCTCACGCTGCAGTGGGTAAGGGTGTCAGGGAGCGCCCGGCTGCGGTGCCACGGTCCCGAGCACCGCGCACGGCCCCCGAGCACCGTGCACAGGGCCTGGCGCAGCCCCTCTCACCAGGCACTGGTCACAGTTGCGCCCAGTCACCAGCCGCTTGCAGAAGCACTCGCCGCTGACAGGGTCGCACCGGCTGCCCGCGGCCGCCGTGCCGCGGGGGTCACACTGGCACCCTGTGCAGAGAACCGGCAGCGTCCAGTGGGGCCGAGCCACGCGCCTGACCCCACGGGGTGCCACCCCGGTACCTACGCTGGCAGCCCTGCGGATTGGCGGCGCTGAGGCCGAAGAAGCCGGGTTTGCAGCGGTCGCAGCGGGGACCGGCCACGTTCTCCTTGCAGCGGCACTGCCCCGCGATCAGGCCCCGGGCCGGGTCGTCAGCGCCGTCGCACAGCCCACCGTCCAGAGAGCCCTCGGGGTCGCAGTTGCAGGCTGGGGGTGCAGGCGGGGTCAGTACGCTGACCCCCCCCCCCCCGACCCACCCCACGCAGCCTGTCCAACACCGCGCACCCCTCGGCACCGACCTCGGCACACCGCGGGGTCTCGCAGGTCCTTGCTGGGGTCCTTGTAGTAGAAGGGCTTGCAGAGGTGGCAGCGGCGGCCCATGGTGTTGTGCTGGCAGCCGTCGCACACGGCCCCGCTGGCGTTCCCCGTGGCCAGGAAGACGGCCATGTCGAAGTGGCACCGCCGCGAGTGCTCGTTGCAGTCGCAGCCTGCGGGGACGGCACCGCGGCACGGCATGCGGCACCCCAACCCCCCCCGCCTGGCAGGCAGCGCCCCCCCACCCTAAACCTGGGGATGCACCACCTCCATCCCAACCCCTCCGGCCCCAGCCTGCAGAAGCCCCAGACCCGCATCCCGGCAGGATGCACCCCCACCCCCTCCAAATCGCAGCCGGCGGCACCTCGACCCCCCCCAAACCCCAGGCCCACGTGCAGCACCCCCAACCCCAAAACGTGGCATACGGGACCCTCCAGCCCCAGGCCCAAGCCACGGCCCCTGGGATGCTGAACTCTCCACACACAACATGCAGAACCCCAAAATCCCCAAGCACAACATTCAGGGTGGGCTCCGTTCCCCCAGCCCGGCGCGTGGGACCCCAACCCCCCCGGCACGTCACGGTGCCGGTGCCGACGCGGGGCACTCACGGCGGCAGGCGTTGGTGCTGGAGCCCTCGGCCGGGCGCCAGGGCAAGTCGTGGTAGAAATCCTCGCAGCGCTCACAGTTCAACCCCTGCGTGTGGTGCTTGCAGACGCAGCGCCCGTGCACCTGCCGGGACACCACGGTGAGGGGCTGCGGGGAAGGGGCAGCGCAGGTCGCCAGCTCTGGCAGGGCACGCGGGGCCGGCTCGCCGTACCATGCCGTCGGTGGTGGCGGGGGCCCGGCCGAGCGGGGCACACTCGGAAGCGTGCCCGTAGCAGAAGCAGTTCCCGCGCATCACCAGCTCGTAGAGCGCGTAGTAGTACTTCTCCCGGATCTCCCGCCGCGTGTCCAGCAGGTTGTCCCCCAGCGTGTGCAGCTTGGTGAGGTTCACCCGCAGGTTGGTGACCCGCAGCAGGTCTGGGGAGGGGAGAGAGACCCGTGTTGGCACGGAGCGGCCGAGCGATGTCCATGCGCGGCTCGGCTCTGCAGAGCATGGCTGGGGGGGGGCTGTGTGTGGGCACGGGGGGCTCGGAGGAGTTGGGCACGGCTCAGCTCGCCTCCGCACAGTTGGGCTGGGCTGTGCCTGGCATGGGGTGTCTGTGCAGGGCCGTGCACCATCGGGCTGGGCTGCGTGTGACTTTCTATGGCAGGGGTTTTTGGCACAGGGCCACGCAGGATTTGGCTCACACGCACGTGGTTGCACGTGGCCAGGCTGGGCTGTACGTAGCGGCGGTTGTTCAGCTCCTGTGCACGTGGTTGAGAGCCTCTGCAGGGGCCAGGGCCCTGCGGGCCCCCCCAGCAGATGCAGGCTGGGACCCCACCAGTGCGGAACAAGCACCCTGGGCAGGGGCATGTTTCTGGGCACCCACCGCGGAGGGCTGTGCCCAGAGGATGGTTGTGCCCAGTGGGCGCAGCGTGGGGGCCCCAGCAGAGCAGGACAGCTCCCCAGGACTGCAGCTTCCCAGCAGCCCTGCCCTGCAGATTCCTCTCCTGCTCCCAGCCTAAATTTAGCCCTTGGTGATTAACCCCCTGTGTCCTGCACCCAGCCCAACTCCTCTGCCTGTCACCAACCCCATTCCACACCGCAGCCACCACGCGGTGCTGGGCTCAGTTCCGGCACAGTTCTGACATGGCCATCCCCTTTCACTTGCCCCAGTGCAGCCTGACCTTTAGCTGCTCCCACGGAGGGGGGAGTGCAGGAGGGGCCCGAGCCTCCGCAGGCTGGAGACAACCCTGACCCCGCCGTGGGGCTCAGAACAGGGAGAGAGCGGCCAAAATAGCTGCGCCTAAAATAGAGCAGCCAGGCAGGATCCTGGGGCAGACAACTCACTCTGGATGGCGGGGCTGTAGGGGTCCCGGATGGGGATGGCGGGGTCCAGCACCCGGTAGATCACCTAGGGGGGCACAGCAGGGCAGTGAGGGGAGAGCAAGGGGTCCCCTGACCCTCCCGCAGCACTGCCGGGGCCTCACCTCCCCCTCGGTGGAGGGCTCGATGTCAGAGTAGCGGGACTCGCAGACAACATCATCGACGCGGCGCGGGGGTCCGCGGGGGACGTGGGGGAAGGAGGCAGCGCAGTCGTAGGCGAAGTAGCGGTAGACCTTCCAGCTCTGCCCAAAGTCAGCCGAGCGCTCCACCAGCATGGCCGCGGGGCGGAAGGTCTGCGGGACACCCAGCTGGGATGGGGGCCAGCCCCACAGGCTTCATCCCATCCCATCCCGGGTACCCACGCGCCAGGACCCACCTTGAAGGTCATGATGAGGTGGGTGAAGTGGAACTCGGCCTCCAGGTCCAGCTGGATGCTGACGTGCTCCACGCCTGGGGACGGCACGCGTGATTGTGGGGGAACACCCACCCATGGGGCTCATCCCCCCCACCCGGCCACGGTCCAGGGGCGCGTCCAGGGCCGCTGGCTGAGTCACACTTCCTCAGCGTGGGAGGAAGGGAAGAAGAGCCCCCCAGGGACATCCCGCTGCCCCCGCCCGCTCACCGTTCTCCGACTGCCACCAGGCTTTCTTGGGGCGGGGGGCAAAGGTGGTGACCACGTTCTCGATGCGGTGGCTGTTGGCGTTGGCACGGGCGTCGTAGGGCCGCCGCGAGTCACAGATGAAGCACTTCTTCTCCTCCTGCGAGTGGGAGACTTGGCGGTTCATGTCCCCATCCCCGTCTGATGCTCCCCCCATCCCCAATCTGGTGTGTCCCCCCCACCACCCCGTCCCCATCCCGCTCACCTGGAGGTGGCTGACGATGCAGTAGGGCTGGGGCCGGCGCAGCCCGCAGGTGGAGGTGGCACTGAGGCGGGGGGCTCGCCCCACCAGCAGGTCCCCGGTGGCCGGGTAGCAGCTCCCGCGGGCGCAGCCCTGGGGGGAGTCGGGGGCCGGAGCCCCCCCCAGCCCTGCAGGGCAGCGAGAGGCTGAGGAAGCTTGGGGGGGGGGGGGCAGGTGGGGGGGGGCTGGGCCCCTTCCGCGGCCACCCGGAAACAGGGCGGCGGGGCCGCGCCGGCCCCCGGTCCCCCTCCGGGCCCCGTTGGCGGCGGGGGGGCGGCGACTCACCGGCCAGCAGCGGCAGCAGCAGGAGGGCGCCGGGGGTCCGCATCGCGGGGGGCGCAAGGGGCGCGCAAAGGGGGGGGGGGGGGGGGGCGCAACGCAACCGGGGCGCAAGGGGCGCGCAAGTGGGGGCGTTCGGCAGGTGCCCGACGGTCCCGCTCCCGTTCCCGCTCCCGTTCCCGTCCCGTTCCCGTCCCGCCCCGCCGGTTCCCGTTCCCGTCCCCGTCCCCGTCCCGGTCCCTCCCGCCCAGGGCGGCGGGCGCAGCGCTCGGGGCTGCGCGGAAAGCGCGGGGCGGATCCCGGCCGGAGCGGGGGAGCGCGGGCGGGAGGCGGGCGGGCACCGGACACGGGCAGCCGCTCTTCATGGCTTTATTTAGGGACGACGCCGCGCTACAAGTGCCCGCGGAGGGGACGGGACCCCCGGGCTGCGGGGCAGGAGCGGACCCGAGCCCCCCCCCTCCCCCGGCCCCGCCGCCGGTCCCTAGCAGGTGGCGTAAGCGTTGGCCCTCTCCCGGATCTCCTCCAGCAGCCCCCAGACGCGCTGCTCCAACGCCTGCAGCCGCGTCGCCTTCGCCGCCATCGCCCGCTCGTTGTCCCCGAAGTGCTGCTCCAGCTCTGTGGGACGGGGGGGGGGGGGGCACGGTTAGGGTGCAGCCCGTGGTCACCCTTGGGGCATCAGGCAGGACGTGCGTGCGCAGGGAGGTTGGCACCGAGCGGGGTCGGGATGGCGGGGATTGCCCCCCCCCCGGCCACACGTTCCCCCCTCACCTTCCAGCTTCCTCTTGCTGCTGCTGGCCTTGTCCAGGAGGTCCCTGGCCTCCGCTGTCAGCCGTGTCACACGCTGCAGGGCCCCGCCGGACACCCCGGCCAGCCCGGTCACCCGGCCCTTCAGCACTACGTAGCGCTGCGTCACCTGCGCCAGGTCCTGGTGGCACAAGGGCACGATGATGCTGAGCTCCCCCCCCCCTGGCAGCCCGTGCCCCTTCCTTAGTGCCACGCCGCAGCTGGGCAGGACTGGGGGGGCTCACCTGGCTGAGCGTCCCCGAGGTGGCGGTGGCATGCCGCGCCCCGTCCTTGGCTTGCTGGGCCACGCGGCGGGCATCCCGGCCCCGCTCCTGCAGGGCGGCGACGCGCTGCGCCAGCTCCCGCAGCCGCCGCTGCGCCCGCGACTCCTTCCCCTCCAGCGCCTGCAGCCTGCGCTCCGCCTGGGCAGGCACGGGCACCGGCTGCCGGCAGGCACCGCGACCGCCGTGCCCACGCTGCCAGTCCCACCGCCCATGGCACCCGCCCCACACCATCCGCATCCCCCCCCGGCACCAGCCTCACTGCCCTTTGTTGTGCCCACAGCATCAGCTTTGCTCCCCATGGCACCAACCCCGTTGCTCCCAGTGCCCTCATGGCACCAACCCCATTGCCCACAGCATGCCCAGAGCACCGTCCCCACTCCCACGCCGTGCCGGCGGCACTGGCCCCGCTCCCCCAGCCCTGGCGCGCTGGCAGCCCCGGTGCCCCTCACCTCCTTGGCTCTGCTCTCAGCCACCCGGATGGCATCCCTGGCGCTCCGCAGGGCACTCCCCGCTGCTGTCGCTTGTGCCCGTGCCGCCTCCAGCGCCCGCTGGGTCCCCACGAGCTCATCCCTCACGCCCTCCGCTCGCTCCCTGTGATGGCACAGGCAGCTCCAGCCCCCCTGCCAGCACTGGGAGATGGAACCCCCCACCCCCTGCCCACCCCGACATAGCCCCCACCACTCACCTGGCATCCTGTCCCTGCGCCAGCAGCCCCCGTGCCGCTGCCAGCCCCTGCACCGTGCTGTTGAGCACCGCGTCCACCCCCTCCAGCTGGCCGATGCTTTCCCGCATCTCCCGCAGCAGCTCCTGGATCCGGCCGGGGCTGCTGGGCAGGGAGATGTTCAGCACCTGCCGTGCCACCAGCTCGATGCTGCCCGGGTCGGCTCCCTCCTCTGCGGGGACACGGGAGCGGGGTGGGCTCAGGGTGGGTGCACTGAGCCCCGCCGTGCCCGTGTGCCCACACCGTGCCGGTAGTACCTGCCAGGAAGGCCTTGATCCGGCGGATGAAGTCCCGCAGCTGGGCCGTTGCCTTCTCGGCGCGGCTGCGGGCGGCCTGCGAACGCCCCAGCGCTTCCTCTGCCCGGCTCCGTGCCCCCCGTGCCAGCTCCTGCACCTCCTGTGTCTGGGGTGGGGTGGGGGGCATGGGGCTGAGGGAGGGGCACAGGACGGCCCCGCAGGAGGGGTTGGAGGGGGTTGGCCAGGGGTTATGAAGGGACATGCATGGGGACAAGGTGGGGTAGTGCAAGGAGGTGCCATGGTGTGTGCAAAGGGGCACGGGGGACATGCAAGGGGGCACGAAGGGTGTGCGACAGGGTACAAGGAGGTACATGGAAGCGGTGTGCAAGGGGACCTAAAGGGGGTGTCGAGAGGGCGCAGCAGTGGCCCAAAGGAGCATACAAGTGTCACAAGGGGCATGTGGGAAGAGACATAAAAGGGACACACAGGAGGGACATGCCTGGGGGCATGGAAAGGGCACAAGCAGGATGTAGAAGGGGACATGCAAAGGGGCATGGAAAGGGCACAAGCGGGCCATGCAAAGGGGACACAAGGGGACCCCAAAAAGTGCCACGAAGCCACCACCCCTACCTTCTGTGCCACAACACCCAGCTGCCCCAGTGCCACCTCCAGCTGCTGCGAGGCGTTACGGGCGCTGCTCAGGGCTCGAGCCGAGACAGGCAGTGCCCCCGCGCAGCCCGTGCCACCGCAGCGCCGTGTCCCCGCGCCGTCCCGGCACAAGGCTCCTCCGCAAGGCGCTTGCTCGCAGCTCCGGTCCCCGGGCGCCCCACAAATCTGCGGTGATGCCAGTGGTGGAGGTGGCAGCTCAACACTGCATGGGAGAAGACCCCCCCCCCCCCACCATGCCACCCTGGCACGTCGGTGCTGCCCATCGGTCCCACTCTCACCTTCTTATTGATCCTGGCAATGCTGAGTCCCATCACCCGTTTCTGCGCCTCCCGCAAGGATTTCCGTGCCGCGGCCGTACCGCGGCGGAAAGCGTCACCCTGCTGCCGCAGCGCTCGCTCTGCTGCCCGCCGCGTTGCCCGTGCCCTGTTCAGCTCACCGGCTGCGCCGTTGGCCACCGCCTCCGCCTGCCGCGAGTCCTCCGCCGACTCCAGGAGGCTGCGGTAAGACTCTGCGGGTGCCGGCGTCAGGATTTAGCTGGAATGATTGCCACCAAACCCCCCAGTTCTCACCTAATGCTCTTACCGCCGAATCCAGCTGCCGCTACAGTGCCCAGAAGGATTTGGAGGTGGGAGGTGGTTCGGTTGAGACCCCCCAGCTCATGGCTCAGCGCGGCTAGCCGGTCGCGGTGCCGCACATCTGCCTGTGCCAGCTGATCTAGATGTTGCTCCAGCTCCTGAAGCTGCTTCCAGAAGTCATCCAGCTCCATCCTTTGGGCGGGGAGAGGGGTTTCGAGCCTTTTGGGGTGAGAAAAGGGGGGGTCCCACCCGCCCCAGCCCACGGCGCACACTTGCCTGGTGCCATCCAGCCGTCTGGGCAGCCCGTCGAGGAGGGGGCCACCGGGGCTGCCCCCCTCGCCCAGCAGCCGCTCCACGTGCCCCAGGGCCTCCTCCAGCGCCCGCAGGCGGCGGGGGCTGAGCAGGGGCACGGACCCCCCCTCCCGCAGCGCGCGCGCCTGCGTCCCCAAGCGCCGCAGCCCGTCCCGCAGGCTGCCCAGGGCCGGGTCCCAGCGCCCAAAGCAGGGGTGGCAGGGCGAGCAGCGGGGGAAGGCCTCCTGGTAGCCCCGCTGGCAGCGGTCACAGCGCAGCCCCCCGAAGCCCGGCCGGCAGCGGCACTGCCCACTGGCCTGCTCGCACTGCGGGCTCTCGGCGCCCAGCGGCTCGCACTCGCAGGCTGTGGAGGCAGACGTCAGCATGTCCCGGCCTCCCAAGGGACCCCCGTGTCCCCAGAGTGCCACCAAGTCCCCAGCATCCCACCACATCCCCCCCTGTGTCTCCAGAGTGCCACCGTGTCCCCAGGGTCTCCTACGTCCCCACAACCCCACCATGTATTCAGTGTCCCTTGAGTCCTCCGTGGTCCCAGAGACCCACTATGTCTCCAGGGTGTTCCATGTCCCCGGCATCCCACTGTGTCTCCAAGGTCCCCCATGTCCCCTGCATTCCACTACAGCTCCACGATCCCCCATGTCTGAAGGGTCCCACCATGTCCCCACGATCTCACCATGTCCCCAGGACCTCCCGAGTCCCCTGTTTCCCCAAAGCCCTCATGTTCACAGTCTCCCACCATGTCTCCAGTGTCCCTTATGTCCCCAGGGTCTCGCCACATCCCAAGGGCTCCCCGTGTCCCTGGAGTCCCACCATGCACCCAGGGTCCCCCCCACACCCCACGTTTCCCCAGAACCCCTGCACCTCCGGTCCCTGGGATGTGCCCCCACCTCGACACTCCCGCTCGGGGTCTCCCCAGTGATGCTCCTGGCACTGGGAGCAGACACGGCCCCCAAAGCCGGGCCGGCACTGGCACTGCCCTGTCATCTGCAGTGATAGTGGTGTGCTCAGCTCGGTGGCTCACCGGGTGCCAGGAAGGCAGCGGAGCCGTGCCAGGGTGCCGAGGGGGCTTACCACATCGCAGGCGGGGTGCAGGGCACGTGTGGGGTGGCAGCCACAGGGCTCACAGCCTCCTGGCCCCCCCAGGCTCCAGAAGTGGGGTGCGCAGCGGTCGCAGGTCTTGCCCACCACATTGGGCCGGCAGGCGCAGGCGCCCGTGCCGCGGTCGCAGGCGCAGGCGCCGGCGGTGCAGTGGGAGGCCAGGGTTCCCCGTGGGTCGCAGCCGCAGCCTGCGGGCGGGTGGGAGGCCACGTGGGGCTCAGCCTGTACCCCCTGCCCAGGCGATGCCCTCCTGGCACCTGGCCCCAGCGCCCCAGAGTCCCCTACCTGACCCGGAACCCATGCACAGCCCCAACACCCCCAATCCTAACACAACCCCAACCCCAATCCCTGTCCCCTGCCCAGCCCTTACTACAGGCACAGCCCCAAACCCCCGCAACAGCCCCAAACCCCCAGACACACTCAAAACCTCCCCAGCCCCACTCCCCCACACAACCCAAATCCCCCCATACCCCAACGCAGCCCCAAACCTCACCCCCACCCCAAGCCCTTGCATCATCCTAACCCCCCCCACGCCCCCAAACCCTCACACGGCCCCATCCCCGGTGCAGCCCCCCCGCCCCGCTCACGCCGGCAGCTGCGCTGCAGGGCATTGCCGTAGTAGCCGGGCTGGCAGTGGGCACAGTGGGGCCCGGCGGTGTGGTACAGGCAGCGCAGGCAGTGACCCGTGTGGGGGTCACAGGCCCCCGGGTCGCTGGCGTCGATGTTATTGTTGCACTGGCAGGGCCGGCACACTCCCCCCTCCATCTCCGGCACCCCAAAGTAGCCAGGGGAGCAGCGGTCGCAGCGGGGCCCTGCGGGGAAGGGAGGGGGGGATGTGGGTGCTGGGGTCCCGGAGCCCTGGTGCTGGGGGGGGGTCCCCACTGCACGGCGCCCACTCTGCCCCTCACCGGCGTATCCGGGCGCGCAGAGGCAGACGATGTGGTGGGTCTCCTCGTCGGCGTGGCAAGAGCTCCCGTGGTAGTGCCGTGTGCCGGGGTAGCCGGGGCAGGGGCAGGGCCGGCACTGCTGCCCCGAGCCCAGCACTGGGTCCCCGTAGTAACCGTCCTGGCACCTGCAAGGGCGTGGGGTGAGTGCTCCCACCACCCCATCTCATCCATCCGTCATACCCCATCCCATCCCACGCCACGCCATCCCCTCCCCTCTGACCGGGCTCACCTCTCGCAGTGCCGGCCGGCGGTGTGGTCGCGGCAGCGCAGGCAGCTGCCCGTCCGGGGGTCGCAGTCCTCGGCGTGGCCGTTGCACTGGCAGGGCCGGCAAGCAGGGAAGCCCCAGTGGCCGGGCTGGCACTGGTCGCACTGCCGGCCCACGGCGCCGGGCTGGCACCGGCACTGCCCGCTCACCGCGTCGCACAGCTGTGACACTGAGCCCTCCGGGGAGCAGGCGCAGGCTGCGGGATGGCATGGCTCGGGTCAGGCATGTGGGTGCAGGGACAAAGGGACAGACGGACAGACAGACAGACAGGGGGCCAGCACCCAGAGCATTGCCCGACCCACAGGCTACGGCACAGGAGGGCTCTTGCGGACACACGGGCGGGCAGATGGACAGGCAGACAGACAGATGAGTGAGTGCGAGGCAGGGCAGCGCCCACCATGAATGGATGGATGGGTGGATGGATGGATGGATGGATGGATGGGTGGGTGGGTGGATGGATGGATGGATGGATGGATGGATGGATGGATGGATGGATGGATGGATGGATGGATGGGTGGGTGGATGGATGGGTGGATGGATGGGTGGATGGATAGGTGGATGGATGGATGGATGGATGGATGGATGGATGGATGGATGGATGGATGGATGGGTGGATGGATGGGTGGATGGATGGATGGATGGATGGATGGATGGATGGATGGATGGATGGATGGATGGATGGATGGATGGATGGATGGATGGATGGATGGATGGATGGAAAGACAGAGGGAGAGGGGAAACTGGGACCCAACCCATGGGCTACAGTACGGCAGGGCTGAGATGGACACATGCATGGACAGATGGACAGGCAGACTGGCAGCAAACAAGGGTCTGAGGGCTGGATGGACAGACGGATGGGAGGAACAGGGATGCCTGGGCAGGCGCAGATCCCACTACTCACGGCTGCAGCCCAGGGGTCCGAAGCCGTAGCTGCCTGGGGCGCAGCGGTCACAGCGCCGGCCGAGCACGTGGGGCTTGCACTCGCACTGCCCTCCCTGCGCCTGGCACTCGCTGCTGCGGGAGCCCTGCGGGTCGCACTGGCAGGCTGCGGGCAGCAGGGCCAGTGTGGGGACAGGGCTGCCCTGCCCGCACCCTGCCCGCACCCTGCTCCCCTGGGCACAGCCCCATCCTGACCCACTGCCCCGGGTAACCCTCCTCACCCTGACCCACCACACCGGGCAGGGTCCCACCCTCGCCCGCTGCCCCGGTCACATCCCCCGACCCTGGCAGGGTGCCCTGCCCACGGTGCCCCCACTCACACAGTGCCCCGTCGTGCAGCAGAGCCGAGACGCTGCAGACCAGTCGGGCGCAGGCCTGGGCTAATTGGGGTGGGGGGGCCATGCGGAATGCCTCCAGGCACCGGTACCGCTCCAGCTCCTCCCGGCGCACCGCTGCCTCCGCCCCATGGAAGCCCGGCAACTCCGACACCCGTGGCAGGAGCACCAACTGCGCCAGGCAGCAGGAAGGGGAGAGGAGATGGGGCTGGGGGGGCACAGCCACCCCCCCACCATGGGACCTGGTCCCTGCTCCCAGGCTGGACCCATCTGCCCCAGGGCAGCCACAGTCCCGCTGGGGGCTCAACCGCCAAAACCCATCAACAGCCCCAGCTCCACTGACATCCCCAGCCCCAGCAGCATCCCCAGCCCTGTTGACACTCTCACCCAAATTGCGATCCCCACAGGCTTCCTTATTCCCATTCCCGTTGACAACCCTAAGGCCAACCCCAACTCCATCAACATCCCCATCTCCATCAACATCCCAACCCCATTAACATCCCCATTCCAATCCCATCCCCATCCCTATTCCCATCCCCATTCCCATTCCCATTCCCATTCCCATTCCCATTCCCATCCCCATTCCCATCCCCATTCCCATTCCCATCCCCATTCCCACTCCTAACTCCCATTCCCATACCCACTCACATCTCCATCCCCACCACCATTCCCATTCTCATCCCCATTTCCATTCCGATCTCCATCCCAACCCCACATACAGCCACAGACGGGGGGTCACTGCCTGCCCCAGCCCGTGGTCCCCTGTCCTTGCCCATCACCCCACTCCTGCTGAGCCCCAGGCGTGGGGCGCAACGGGACCCCCCTCACCGAGTCGATGAGGATGAAGGCGCTTGGGTGGCGCTGGGTGACACCGGCCCGTTGAAGCCGCATGGTCACCTCGTAGGGGGTGCTGGGCTCGAAGCAGAAGGGCCGGGACAGCAGGACGTACCTGTGCAGGGGCAGGCGTCAGGCTACGGGCACAACAGGGCCGTGGGAATGGCCACGGAACGGCAGCAGGACCCTGCCACCTTCCTTGTCCCCATCCTCTCCTGATCCTTGTCCCCATCTTCATCCTCACCCCATTACCACCCTCATCCCATCCCATCCCGTCCCACCTCTGGCTGTGGGGCAGGCTCTCGCGGTACATCTGCTCGGAGGGCAGCAGGTTTCCGCAGCGAGGGCTGGTGGGCAGCGCCCGGGATCTGACACTGACCACAGCCTCCCAGTCCTCGGCCGACTGCGGTGACAGGCGGGGCAGTGTCAGGGCCGGGCCGTGCCGTACACGCTGTGGCCGTGCCCGTGCTGCCCGTGGCCGCGCTCACCTCGGGCTCGTAGCGCAGCAGCAGCTCGTAGTCCATGGGGTAGGGCACGTCATCCACGCGGAAGGTCAGGCCAGCCCCGTCCCGCACCCGGGCGAACCCCGAGCCTGTCCACGTCACCATGCGCCCGGTGCCGTCCCGCACCACCTCCTCCACGTCCGGCTGGGCAGGGTACCGGCACAGCTCGGCCCCAGCTCCCCCAATTCTGCCTCCCCGGCCGCCCCCACCCCGCAGTGCCCTGCCATGCCCCATCCCACACACACCACCACCACCCCCCCCCCCCGGGGCTCACCTTGGGGGGCTGCTGGCGGCTGCGGCGCGAGGGAACGCGAGGCTGAGGGGCACGGGGGGGGCTGCGCTGCTGCCGCGGGCGCCCCTTCCGCCCCCCCGGCTCCCCGGTGTCATACTCCAGGCAGTCCTGGGGCACCTCTGCCCGGATGGCACCCTGCGGGGATGGGGTCAGGGGACGGGTGGCCATGCACGGGGACAGCCATGCACAGGGCACGGCGACAGCCACGTGCGGGACGGGGCGACAGCCATGCATGGAGCACAGTGCACAGTGACAGCCACGCACAAGCCTGGGCAGGGGGTGCAGGGAACCCCCCCCCTCCCCAGGAGACTCACCGGGAGCTGAGGGTGGCCGTGGCCGTGGCCGGTGGCCCGCTCGGCCTCATAGGTGTAGTAGTCGAGGGGGGCGCAGAAGAAGCCGGGCTGTACCTGGTCGCACTGCCGCCCCATGAGGTGGGGACGGCAGGGACAAGCCCCGTCCTCCATGGAGCACCTGGGGGTGACCATCCTGCCTCTCCATCTGCCCTTCTGTCTGGCTCAGTCCTCACCCATCCCTCCTTCCATCCCTCCCTCCATCCCTCCTTCCATCCCTCCATCTCTGGGGATGGAGAGCCCTCCCTCCATCCCAGCACTCTCTATGTCCCCAGACCTGTCCCCAGCCCTTGCTTCCCGCCATGCTTGACCTCCAGCCCCGTCCCCACTCCTGCTCCCCTGTCCCCGTGCCCCACCGGGCGCTGTGCTGGGCCCCACCGGTTGTTGTAGGCTCCTCCGAAATCACAGGCACAGGGCCGGCAGCCCCCCACGTCGTAGCTCAGGCCCCAGAACTCAGCCTGCAGTGAGAGGGGGGTGACATGGGGCAGGCGTGGGGCCAGCCCGGCCCTGGGGGTTGCCGTGGGCCACAGAGCACGGTGTGGGGCAGGCTGTGGGGCAGGCTGGGGCACTCACCACGCACTGGCTGCACGAGCGCCCGGCCACGAAGCGTTTGCAGTAGCAGTCCCCGCTGATGGGGTCGCAGGGGGAGCTGCCTGCCACCGTGCCCCGTGGGTCACACCTGCATGCTGCACCCCCCCACACGCACATGCACCCCCACACGTCAGGGGCTGCCACATGGCACTGCAGCCCATGGGCTTCACGACCATCCCTCCCCATCCCATGTCCTTCCATCCATCGCCCTTCCATCCCCATCTCTCTGTTCCCATTCCTCCATCCACATCACTCCATCCCAGATCCCTTCATCCTGATCCCTCCATCCTGCATCACCCCTCCATCCCACATCCCTCTATCCCACATCCCTCCATCCCCATCTCTTTGTTCCCATCCCTCCCACTCACATCCCTCCATCCCCAACCCTCCATCATCCCTCCAGCCCACATCCCTCCAGCCCCATCCCTCCCTCTCACATCCCTCCATCCCACATGCCGCATCCCTCCATCCCCATTCCTATATCATCCCTTCTATCCCCATACCTCCAATCCACATCCCACATCCCTCCATCTCCATCCCTCCCTCTCACATCCCTCCATCCCCACCCCTCCACCCCACACCCTCCCGTGCCCATCCCTGGGTCCCAGCTCACGCTGGCAGCCCTGCGGGTCGCTGTGGCTGAGGCCGTAGGCGCCGTGCCGGCAGCGGTCGCAGCGGGGACCGGCCACGTTCTCCTTGCAGCGGCACTGCCCCGCGATCATGCCCAGTGCCACATCCGTGTGCCCGTCGCAGGCGCCTCCGTCCAGCGAACCCGCCGGGTCGCAGTCACACGCTGCCGAGAGAGAGGGAGAGAGCGCGGGGAGCCACGGCTGCCGGCACTGAGAGCCGCGGCGCCAGGGCAAGCCGTGGGGCTGGGGTCCTGTGGCACTCACGGGCGCAGGCGGTGGGGGCGCGGATGTCGGAGCGGGGGTGCCGGTAGTAGAAGGGCTTGCAGAGGTGGCAGCGGCGGCCCATGGTGTTGTGCTGGCAGCCGTCGCACACGGCCCCGCTGGCGTTCCCCGTGGCCAGGAAGACGGCCATGTCGAAGTGGCACCGCCGCGAGTGCTCGTTGCAGTCGCAGCCTGCGGGGACGGCACCGCGGCACGGCATGCGGCACCCCAACCCCGCCCGCCTGGCAGGCAGCGCCCCCCCACCCTAAACCTGGGGATGCACCACCTCCATCCCAACCCCTCCAGCCCCAGCCTGCAGAAGCCCCAGACCCGCATCCCGGCAGGATGCACCCCCACCCCCTCCAAATCGCAGCCGGCGGCACCTCGACCCCCCTCCAACCCCAGCCCCACGTGCAGCACCCCCAACCCCAAAACGTGGCATACGGGACCCTCCAGCCCCAGGCCCAAGCCACGGCCCCTGGGATGCTGAACTCTCCACACACAACATGCAGAACCCCAAAATCCCCAAGCACAACATTCAGGGTGGGCTCCGTTCCCCCAGCCCGGCGCGTGGGACCCCAACCCCCCCGGCACGTCACGGTGCCGGTGCCGACGCGGGGCACTCACGGCGGCAGGCGTTGGTGCTGGAGCCCTCGGCCGGGCGCCAGGGCAAGTCGTGGTAGAAATCCTCGCAGCGCTCACAGTTCAACCCCTGCGTGTGGTGCTCGCAGACGCAGCGCCCGTGGATCTGGGGGTGGGAGCACCCAGATCAGCACTGCTGCTGGGTCCCACGGGGCACCGTGCCGTGCCGGTAGTAGCGTGCACCTCACCATGCCGGGGATGGAGGATGCTGGGGCGCCGGGTGCTGGGGCACAGTGGGCAGCGTGGCCGTGGCAGAAGCAGCTCCCGCGCAGCACCAGCTCATCCACAGCGTAATAGTACTTGTGCAGCACCTCCCGCCGCGTGTCCAGCAGGTTGTCCCCCAGCGTGTGCAGCTTGGTGAGGTTCACCCGCAGGTTGGTGACCCGCAGCAGGTCTGGGGGGGGGGGTGGTGGTGCCACTGTCAGCACCTGCCCCACCACCCACCAGCCCCACAGCCCTGGAACCCCCAGCCACGCACCCTGGATGTCCGGGCTGTAGGGATCCGCCACAGGGATGGAGGGGTCCAGCACCTTGAAGATGACCTGGAGGGAGAAAGGGGTGGGTAAGCCTGGCCCCCACAGCCCCTCAGCTCCACCCTGCACCGCCCTTGCCCCACTCACCTCCCCATGGCTGGAGGGCTCGATCTCCGAGTAGCGCTGGTCGCACAGCACCTCATCCACCAGTCCTGAGGGCTGGCTGGGGACACCGGGGAAGAGCTTGGAGCAGTTGTAGGCAAAGTAGCGGTAGACCTTCCAGCTCTGCCCAAAGTCAGCCGAGCGCTCCACCAGCATGGCCGCGGGGCGGAAGGTCTGCGGGACACCCAGCTGGGATGGGGGCCGGCCCCACAGCCCCCACAGGTCCATCCCATCCCATCCCGCTCCACTCCAGGCACCCGTGTGCCAGGACCCACCTTGAACTTCATGATGAGGTGGGTGAAGTGGAACTCGCCCTCCAGGTCCAGGCGAATGCTGACGTGCTCCACGCCTGGGGGGTGCAGAGGTGCTGGCTGAGACCAGGGTCCCATGGCCACGCAGCCCCGAGGCACACGCACATGGGGACGACCCCACTGCCGCCCTGGCCTCACCGTTCTCCGACTGCCACCAGGTCCGCTGGCCGTGGGGGCCGCTCAGGTAGATGACATTCTCGATGCGGTGGCTCTCGGGCAGGGACGGGTCCCGCGAGTCGCAGGTGAAGCATTTCTCCGAGTCCTGCACCGGGGAGCAGCACCGTCAGGGACGGGCAACTGGAGACCACACCAGTGCCCGGCTGCGCTGGGGATGTGCCGGAGCTGTGCCGGGGCCGGGTGGGCTCACCTGGAGGTGGCTGACGATGCAATACTCCTGGGGCCCATCCAGCCCACAAGTGGAGGTGGCACTGAGGCGGGGGGCTCGCCCCACCAGCAGGTTCCCAGTGGCCGGGTAGCAGCTCCCGCGGGCGCAGCCGTGGCTCAGGTCTGGCTCCTGCCAGCCCCTCGCCGCCGGTACCCCCGCTGCAGGGAGCGTGAGGGCACGGGCTGGGGGCTGTGCCAGGCCCGTAGGCACCCCCCGCACCCCCCCACCATGCACCCCAGATGCCTACCCACCCCACCCCCAGCTGTCCCATCCTGTGCCATCCCCGCGGCCCGATCCACTGATGCAGCACGAAGCTCTGTGACCCGGAAAGGTGCTGGCAGCAGCACCAGGGCCTCGTGACTGGGGGGCAGGGAGCGGGTCCAGGCGGGCAGTGGGGGTGAGCAGGGGGCTGGGCTGCCCTGGGGTGCCAAGCGGTGCCAGGGGGAGTCGGGAGCCAGGTCAGGCGCTCACTAATCCCGCAGGGGTTCAGCGCTGCCCGGATTCCCCGCCGGGATTTGTGGCAGTCAGGCTCTTGCTGCTGCCAGCCAGGGAGCCATGCCATCGCCACCGCCTCCGTCACCCAGCACCCTCCACCCAGGCTGGGGTCCCGGAGCCACCACGGCCCCCAGCACCGTGGGGACACAGGGTGGCCTGAGGCCAGCGCTTACCCAGGAGGAGAGCGAGCACCAGGAGCTCCATGGGCAGCCGCGGGCTCTGCCTGGGGAGACACGGAGACGGCACTGTGGCAGGGCGCGGGGTATGGCATGGGGCCATGAGGCGCGGGGCAGCCGGGGCCTGGCCTCTCCCAGCTCCGGCACGGCCACGCTGGGAGGGCATGGTGGTGCACCCTGGGGACAGCACCGGGAAGCGGGGGCGGATGGGGCAGTTGGGTCCCAAAGTCCCTCGGGGTGACACCCAGCGCCCACCCCCGTGGCTGTGCCCCAGCCCTGCACGGCCCCGGGGGGTTGCAGCACACAGACCTGGGCACACAGCTGTGCCCCGCACCCCCAGCCCCGGCAGGAGCTGTGCTGTGCCTCATCCTGCCCTGCTCAGGGCAGATCCATCCCTGCAAGTGTCACCGGTGTCCCTGGGGGGGTCCCAGCACAAGGCCAGGGCCAGCTGGGGAGGGGAGCCAGGAGTGCCGGAGCCGGCTGGGCGAGGGCGTCCCTGCAGCTGGCTGGGGTCCCGCTGTTAAATTTAGGCTGGAGCTGCCTTTTGTGCTTCCTTCTCTCCCGGTACCGCCCGCTCCCAGCCTTGCAAGTGCTGGATCAAAGCCTGGCCCCGGCACTGCCCAAACACATCTTCCCTGTCCCCACACAGGAGCCAGCCCCGGGCAGGGGGGCTCAGGGCGACGGGGGGAGCCACGACTCTGCCCCGGCCACTGGCTGTGCTCAAAGCCGCGCCAAAGCGATGGGCGAGGTGGTGTGGGGCCGTGTGCCAGTGTGGGGGTCCCCAAGCCCCGCAAGCCCCCCCCCGTACCTGGTGTCCTGTGGCGTCCAGCGAGGCCAAGGTCAGGGGCGAGGGCGGCACGGGACCCTCTGCCCCCCAGGCTGGGCGCGCAGAAATGAGCCGGGGCGAGGGCGGCGATGGGATGGCGGCGGAGGCCGGCGGCCCCCCTTCCCCGTGCACGATTCTTATTCAAATGGGCAGCCCGCTGAAAGGGACGGCGGTCTCCAGGCTACGGGAATGTCACTGCCGATTCCTTCTGCCTGGAGGCCCCCGCTGCCCGCCCGCCCGTGGAGGCCAGGCCGGCCAGGCGTCGGCAGCCCGGGCACGCCCCGGCTCCCGGGGTGGCACGGCGGGCCCCGCCGGCGAACAAAAGGGGCGCCTCGTGGGCCGGCGAGCCGACGGCGCCGCGTTCCCCGGGATCCCGGCATGGCTCAGCAGGAACGCGCCTGCTGCCGCTTGCAGCGAGGCGTGCGGGGCGGCACGGCGGGACGGGCGCCCAACGCTCCGGGGAAACCAGCCGGCGCGGCTGCGCAGGGGGCCACGGCGCCGGTTTTTGCCCCACTTGGGGGATGCCCCATGGTGGAGGCACCGGCGTGGCCTGGCTGCGGGGTGGAGACGTGCCGGGCGTCTGCCTCGACGGGAGCTCGGTCACGGTGCTGCCAACTGGGCACGTCCCTCCCGAGGGACCCGGCCCTCCCCACCGCCATGGCTCCCCGGGGCAAAGTCCAGCACGCACCGGCCCCGGGAAGTGCACTGCAGGGTGGGGGCACCCAGCCCGTCTCTCCCACGGGACCCCACGGCCCCTTCCTTGTGTGCCGCCTCGTGTCGGCCACCAGCACCCAGCCTGCGCCCCAGGGCTGTGCCGTGCCCCACGGCTCCCCGCCAGCTCCTACCTGTGCCCGTGGGGCCTGGGGCGCTGGGCAAGCGGCTGGTGGCCCCGGGTGGGCTGCAGAATCAGCCAGCTTGGCCCCGCTGGGCTCAGGCTGGGCTCGGCTCCTGTTCCTGGAGGAGGGCGGCGGGCGCCTGTCTCCTCCTCCAGCAGCCGTGCCAGGCGAGGGGAGGGACCTGCCCGCGCCGAGCTTCAGCCAAGGTGAGGCAGAGGCCAGGTACAAGCCAGCGGTGGCCCACGCGTGGCACGGCAGTGCCCCGTGCCCAGGCTGGCCAGGAGCTGGCACAGCATCCCCGCAGGGCTGTCGTGCCCGGTCGTGTGGCAAGCTGGGCCGCCGAGACAGGCAGCCCGGCCAGGACTTGCCCCGCACCGCACGGGCCCGTCTGTGCCTATTCAGGGCACATCTCCAGCAGCGGTACTGGGAGCCCCGGGCTGGCACAGAAGTCACCTGTGCCAGATGGATTCTGCTCCCCCCCACCCCGTGTATGGGCAACACCGTGCCCTGAGCCGGGGCCCCACTCACCCCGTGCTGCCTGGGATCCTTCGGACCAGGTGCTGAGCCAGCAGCCTCAGCGCCCTGCGGGGAGCGTGGCCGTGCACCGGGGCCGGGCTTGACAGAGACCTTGCTGTCACGCAGGGATGGTGCCTTTTATTAGCTGAGGCTGAAGGAAGGAAAAGGAGCTGCGTGCTCGCCGCACCAAGGCTGCGCTCTGGCTGCCCGCCGGTGAGCAAGGTCGCCGGCAGACAAACCAGCAGCTCCGCGGGCTGCCCCAAGGGACACCCCGACACAGCACAGGCTGGTCCCACGCGTCTCAGTGGGGTGAGGGATGCCGTGGGCAGAGCCCTGCCGGCTCCCCACGGCCCTGCTCTCAGCAGGCGCTGGGGAACCCCCGAGGAAGGGCAGGGCTGTGCCCATCGAGGCCAGCAAGGCTCCAGAAGTGCAGGGTGGCTAGGAGAGCTGGGAGGAGATGAGCTGATAAAGAGCCATTAGCACCAGCCAGCTGTCTGTATCACAGGGATCTTGCCAGGCAAACCTTATCTGCTCTGAGGAGATCCTAAGTGGCCTGATAAAGGCGACTGTAACAGGATCTCTGGCCTTGAAAAGCAAAGTAAAAGCAGGAGGGAGGAATCCTCAGCCGGATCTGAAGGACGAGCGAGGTGTCCCAGCCCACATTCAGGCACTCCCTGGCTCCCTGGAAGCTGCCCTGACTTCCCACCCCCATCTGCAATCCCCACAGTCACCGCGCAGCCGAACGCGTGGGGGTGGCCGGTGTCTGCCTGGGGAGGTGACACAGCCGGGGGCAGCTCCGCTGGCCGGAGATCTGTCAGCAGCTCTGCCGCAGCCCTCCAAAGCTGGGGAGCATCCCCTGCTCCCTCGGGCACCCACGGCCTCGGCTCCACCAGCACCCTTCAGCAGCCATCAGAGCACTTTTGTCATTGTCAGGAGACCAAACGGCTCGGAGGGGTGGCAGTGGGAACCGGCAGCGCTCGCCGCTTTCAGGGATCACACAGAGGAGAGGCCCCCCCAAGCCTCAGCAGAGCCTCTGATCTCCTGGGGCAGCCTCTCACGCTTGGCCAGCTCCGCTTGGACCGACTTCAGTGCGCTCAGCGGGCGGCCGGCGCTTCCCTGAACATCCTTAGCGAGCAGGAGAACCACTTAACCGCTTCCTGAGGAATGAGCTCCGGCACCGGAGCTGCTGCCTGCTCGGGGCCACGGTCCCACCACCCTTAGTGCCGGGTCAGCGCACCGACGGCCCCGCAGCATAAACTGGATCCGGATCGCACGCGGGCAAACAATGGTGTTTCTGTTGAATTAGCCGGCCACAGGGTCCCAGCTGCAGAACGGGCAGATTCAGAGAGAATTTGGAGGGTGGGCAGGCAGGAGAGCGCCTGCCAGCGCAGCGCCGACCCGGCGCTTTTCTAGGAACTAACCTGGAATGCGGATTTATGCCAGTTTACACCAGTTTAGCACCAGCGGCACTCGTCTGGAGCACTTCCTTCCCATCCTGTGCCAAGCATTCCTTAATGGGGCTTGGGTAACCCCAAACCTCACTGGGGGGAACTGGGGAGAAGAGGTTGCCAGCTGAGCGTGTCCCACGCAGCAGCCGGACACACGGGAGACACCGTTCCAGGAGGCTCAGCTGGAGCCAGGCAGGAGCCCAGGGAGGAGCAGTCTGGCGGGGCCCAAAGAAAATGTGGACACGCTGGGCGGTTCTGGGCACCATTTTACTGAAGCGCTGGACACCTGCTAGGACTTCATAACAAAAAGTTCACTTCATTTCAGAAAAAAGACAGTCTGTTTTTTTGTCCCATTCCCTCCAAAGAGTGGAATAATGCTAACGCTGTCTTTTCACTAAACAATGCCATTCCAAAATATACAACACCAAGTGTGGAGCAGCCCAGCCTCGTATTAAACATTAAATATCAATATAGCTTCAGAAACATTGTACACAAACAAATGAAACAGTAAAAAGTTCACTCAAGAACAAGATGGTCAGTTGTTGTAAATTCACCACACACAAGTTTGTTACTCGCCCTCCCGCAGGCTGCAGCGGCTGCTCCCCGGCTGTCGCTCGGGATCCCCGAACACCGGGGGATGCCCACGGCTGAGCCGGCGGCACCAGCCCCAGCCGGAGCAGGTCAGTCGCACTGTGGCGTGGAGACAGGTCTCTTAAGAGATGACGGTTGGCAGAGAGGGGCGCCAGGGGCTGGGCAGTGCCCGCCCAGAGCCCCCCCGTGTCCCTCAGAGCGGCCGCTGTGCCTCTGCTTGGGCAATGCCACCCCTGGGGAGCGCTGCTCCGGGAGGCGGGAGGCGGGAACGGCGTCGCGCACTGCACCTTCCCCGCCACGAACGCCGACGCTCGTTTTGTCCCATCCCAGGCCTGGGCAGCATGGTGGAGCAGGGGCAGGAGGGGAGGCATTTCTGGGGGTAGCTTTTGCAGCACCTTCTCTTCTGCAACAGCACCGCGTGCCTCACTGTGTCTGTGGGAATTACCAGACTCTCACAGGGGCTGCCTGTAGCAACAGGAACGGAAAGGGCTAATTAAGACAACAAGGAGAGAGTCCCAGACGATAATAAGGCCTTTAAGGGACTTCCCGGGGCAAGGCCTAATCGTCCCCAAAGGGGAAGCTATTTCAGATGCTCACTGGAGGAAGTGCACAGATCTGGTGGATGCACGCCACAGACCTGGCTCCTCTGTTTGCAGACCTCCCCTTGCAGCAGAAGCAGAAGCTGGTCAGCCAGGCGCTGCTGGCATCTTTGGTTTCCCCAAATCCCAGCTTCTCGCTTTTTTTACCAGACCTCCTCGGTCTTCCCAAGCAAACTGAGGGGTCTGGCCTCAGCACCACAGCTTTGGAGGCAGCAGCTGGCCAAGCTGTGAGTGCTAGCAGTGTCACACCTATAGACGGGGTTCACTCGACACTCGGGGCTGTCCTAGTGACTAGGGCTGGCTTCCTGCCTTCTGGGACAAGATCTCTGCTCCACCAGCCAGTGAGGCACTTGGCACCTTCCTAACAGCACCCAGCTCCAGGCAGGAGCAGGCTGTGAGGAGAGGGAAACCTGAGTGTGGTGCTCTCTAGCACAGAGCCCCAAACGCGAGGGTCTGGGAGCAACCTGCCCTGCCGTCCTCTCCACGGGGGGTGCCAGCCCACCCCGCTCACAAAGCCAAAGGCTGCAGCACCGTTAGGAAGGCGCGAGGTACCCCAGAATGGCCATCCTCCCCTCAGGCCATCTCAGCTCCCGGAAAGCCGTCCCCACCTGACCACGGGAGCAAACGGGCCAGCGTCATTTTGAAGACTGAAACGGGTACTTCCACACATACCAACCAACCTGCTTGAGCAGCAGGTGCTCCACACAGCTCAGCACCGACCCTGCCAACCACGGCCGAGACAAGGATCCTCCCACCTAAACCCGTCCCCCTGCCCGGGAAGCTGCCCAGCTCGCGTCACTGTCCAGCTGCAGCTGAGAGACAAACCTGCTCTCCATCCCCACGCGTCCCTTGTGCCGTGGCCAAGGGCGCAGCTGCCAGACAAGGCAAGGAACTTGGACCCAAGGGGGAGCGCAGCCGAATTGGCTGCACCCTGCCACACGCTGGCAAGGTCCGGCCATGAACACAGCACAAGTCACCACTGAAAGGGCCCCAATTCTCTGCTCAAGCCTAAAACCCAAAGCCTCCCGGTCCCTCCTGTCACACCTGGAGCCGGGGGACTTCCACCAGCTCCACCAGTGGAGAATTGCTGCTGGTGAATGAGGGGGTGCCAGAGGACACGCGGCAGAACAGGGGCAGCCGCGGAGCAGGGCCATGGAGCCGGGTGTGCAGCATCACCCACCCCGGCTGTTCTGCTCCCGACTTACCTGCGACGCTCTTAGCTGGCGACTGGATGAACTCTGCAAGGAAACGGCAGGTAATGAGGGGTCTCAGCCCACTGCCCCCCTGGCCTGAGTGCTGCAGGCTGGGTGGGCGATGCTCTGGTCTGAGAAGTATCCAGCTCACAACACTCTGGAGAGCACACCTCCTCCTCCCACTGAAATACCACTAGTGGGCTACAAAACAGGAGTAACAAAATAATCCCTTCTTACTCTGCAGAAAAGTGCTTAAGAAATTCTGTATAAGGATCGCTACGGCAGCTGGCACTGGGGTGGGAGGCAAACAGTTTGGAAGCAGCAGCACCACACTACATGGCTTGCAGGGAAGAGGCCAAGGAAGATCTCCTCCAACTAAAAGTAGTGGCAGACGGTGAAATCTGATCACAGTGGACATGAGCTTCAAAACATTTCAACCAGTTAACAATGTGATTTCAACCGGTATCTGATGTCAGCTTCCCCTTTAGCTGCCTGCCAGACAAGCTGCTCTCCCCACGGACCTTGCTGACGGACATCTGAAGCATGCAGGAAGCTCAAGGACCTTGTCTGATGGAGGCAAAGCATAAACTCTTGCTTCTTGGCAGCTGAATAAAAGGAGAAATTATTTCCACAAAATCAGTCGGAAGAACAGCCCTTTGACCGCTGGCTGAATCATTTCTAGAAGTGACAGTGGCACAAATCCATGCAGCAAAAGCATTCTGAAGAGTCTCCAAAGCTCTCGGCTGTCATGGTGCCCAGGAACAACATAAGCCAGGTCAGGCACTTGGATGAATTCAAAGTGACTAATACAGAAACAGGTCTGAACAACCTGCATACAGCACGCTCAGCAGAGACCACAGCACTCCAGGCAACGCATTTCTACGTGCCCTGCCAGTTACTGCTGCGCAGATCCCTGGAAGGCAAGTCTCACCCTGCTGTCACAGAATAACATGGGGTGGAAGGGACCTCTGGAGGGCAACCTCTGGTTAGACCGGGTCTTAGGCAGGTCTGGTTTGATCAAACCCTTCATCTTCCCTAAACACCAGACAGCAGCGTCCACAGCACGGCCCCTTCTGCAGCCTCCTGCACATCAGCGTCGAAGGCCCAGGACACCAGGAGCACCCACACCCGGCCACAAGACGAAGGACAACTGAGCCAACCACCAACAGGCTGCAGGCACCCAGTCTGCCAGCACTGGATGACAGGCAGCAGTTGGTGACATTGGCACCAGGGGATGTAAAGCCCCTCTGTGAATAACAAGCCGCAATCCCTCCAGCCAAGTTCACAAATCACCTGTGAGGGGGAAGAGGAGACATCAGGAGGGCAGAGAATTGAGCTCCAGTGCTGCCCAGTAGCTCAGGAGCCCAGCAGCCTGTTATAGACGTGCAGAAAAGCTGACAGAGACCAGACTGATGATGAGCAAGTCTCTGAGCAGAGAGCTATGGGGTGCCTGACTCCCTGGCAGAAGCCTCAGAGACACAGGAGTGTCTGTAATGCTCATCCCTCCCTCTGGAGCAGAAGACCTCTTGCTGGTGGCCTGGGAAGGACACTGGGTGAGCCGCTGCCACCAAGCACCCGCAGAACCCAGCTCAGTGCTGGGAAAGGCATGGCAGCACTAAGGCAGTGTGTTTTGCTGGGATGTGTTAAGCAACAGTACAAGCCAAGTCCTTGACTGGCAAAGACCCAAACTGTAAAAGACACGAGGTGATGGAAAAGAGTGGGGAGGCAGGCAGCAGTGCAGCTGGGGGAAGAAACACAACAAAAAGGAGGGAGGTGGCCTGGGAAGCCGGCCTCAGGTGCTCAGCTTCCTGCTCAGGCTGGAGGAAAAGCAACCTCAACCCAAATTCAGCCTTGTTGATGCACGGTTGTTTTTTTCCCACTGGAGGCCAGGCTCTCAGCTGGGATGTCTGTGCTGCACGGAGAGGCTCCAGAGACTGCTCCTGGTGCCCTTATAAGGGGCTGGGAACAGGGGAAGCCGCTGAGCAGCCTGTCAGACAGCGATACCACAGGCAGGAGTTCAGAGCCCTCCTCGGGAAACAGCCAAAAAGAGAAACTCCAGTGCAAGACTTCAAGACCTGGCATTTGAGAGCGTGGGAATGAGGAAGGTCTGAAGGAGTGGGAACAAAAGGGACAAAGCAATTTTTGGCTGGTGAACAGTGATGGAGGTTCCCTGTTCATCCAGCATCATGTCAGGACAGGGAACTCTCTGCCAGGGCATTTTAAAACACAGAAGCAGAAGAAAATATTTCCTCCTCCTCTGCAGCCAACCAGCGGCATTCACAGGTCAGTCTCAAACACTGCAAGTTATGATCTCTGACAGCAACTCAGATATGCACAGTAAAACCACACAGAACCCGGAGTGTGTGATCCAGAGCCTACGATCATCCCCCGAGGGAGAACCTGCACCCTGCTCCACCTGGGCAAGGGGGAAGAACCCTGGCTGTGCCTCAGGACACTCACCTTCACTCCCTCATTATCGTCCTCTCTCCTCTGGATGCCATGGTTTTCCTTTCTGAGCTGGGGATCAGATGCTGACCCCTTTTACAAAGTGCTGAAATCCAGCCAGGTGCTAGGGAGGGACTGAAACGTAAGGAGCTGGGGCTTCCCAGGGGAGCTCATCCTTTCAGCCAATGTCCACAGAGATTACTAGGTCAGACAACTGGTATTTTGAGCTGGTGAGAGAATGAGTGGATTACTGGCCTGCTGCTGCAGAGATCTGAACGTACAGCACCGTACAGAGCCAGGCCCGTGCCCGGCCCGATGTTGCTCCCTCTCCCCAAGCCGCCAGGTTCTGCTTTTGCAGCATCTCAACACAGATCGTCTCATCAGAGGCCATCCCTCCCAGGTGACAGCAGCAGCACCTACCACTCCAACGTGGTGTTTCTCCTGGAACTCGCAGATCCCTCCCTGCGGGGAGCAGACCCGGCCTCTGCCAGCGCGCAGTCTGTGTTTGCATCCGACCGCATGCCCCCGGCGCGGCCATCTGCAGCAGTTCCACAGTGCCTCCCGGGGACGGGCAGGGCCTGCGCTCCGGGAGCTTTCACACCTTCCACACACCTTCTTGCAACATCCCAGACAGCACAGCAAAGCTGTCACCCACCACTACGCGGTGCCCATCTCCCCTCCTACTGCTTCACCCCCACAAACCAACAGAAAGAAACTCTCTACGTTTAAGTAATGGCATGTATACTCTCAACTCTTTTGCTTTTCTGCTTTAATTCAGGCTCAAATGCTCCACTGAGCTCTGGGACCTGCAGGATGTATCCAATACATTCAAATACAGCCTGTGTCTTCTCTACCGGCACCTAGAACCTGCTCCTGAAACGCCCAGTAACAGCAAAGCAGTTAGGTGTTGGGCAGGACACTTTAAGCAATTCCTGCTAACAAATCCAGCCCTTCGGTTGTAAGTCACAGTTCATGCTCTACATTTGCACCTGGGGCACAGGAGAGCAGAGCAACACTGGGTGCTGAGGAGGAATTGCTCTTTGGAGGCAAACCCTACCACGAGTTCAGAGCTTCTGCTACCAACAAACAGTGGAGGCACCTAGAGACGTCAGGCAGACTTGCAGGCAACAGCCCCGTAACACGCCCCCACGCTAATGCAGAGGTAATACCAAAGGTATGATTAAAACTATAGTCAACTATCAGCTGGTAATTCTCCAAATTGTTTGGCATTTCTGGAGACAAAGGAGTGGCTATAACTCTGCCTGCTTCTGAGCTGCTCAAGAGAGCCCAGAACAGACTGTCACAACACTGAATCACAAAGAAAATCTGGCACCTTTCAACAAAAGACTGGCTGAAGGGGAGGGGGAACAAAAGCTATTGAACCCAATCCCAGAGGGATGGAGAAAGTGCATCTTCCCACAGTTCCTGGGCCATATGCACATATATGGATATATAGATATATAGATAATAGTTATAAAATTTGATCAAAATAAAACCAGTAAATGTACAGCTTGAAAAAGAGCAGTATCACAGTGCATCAATGTCATGAGACAGTCCCCTGTTATCCCCCTTGTATGAGCGCACAGCCTGCCACGTTCAGAAGAGCGCCTGCAGGAAGTGAGACCTCCGGCTTGCTGCGGGCGAGTCACTGTCCCCCGTTCCCAAACAGGTTTTTGTATTTCTGCAGTTCTGCATAGCAGTGGTAGACAGGCAGAAACAGCACGAGAGCAGGCTGCTCCGTCTGCAGGTTAGTCGACATGTCATCAGCAGGCATCAGAGATCCAGAGTCACCATTAAATTTCTCCACACTCGGGTGCCCAGGCTCGTATTTACTTACAGAAAAAAAAAATGCGTCAAAGTGAAGAAACTCAGGGGACACTGTGAGAATGGGACAAAGGCTGAATTCGGATCACGGGGGACAGGTTGACCCTAAGAATCTTCTGTGCTCTCCTCCTCACTTCATCATCAGAGGAAGAGTTGCCCACCTTGATGGCCTGGAATTTCAGCAGGTTCAAAGTGCTCTGAACCCGTCGAGATTTATTTCGGACAGGAATGGTATTTGCTTTCTTTCTCTGCGGTGCTTCTCTAGCCTCTGTAGCTCTTCTCTTCTTCTGCCCAACACTCTCCTGGTAAGTGCTGCTGCCCTTCCACTCTGTCTTCCTCACCAGAACTTCCTTATCTTTGATTTTCAAGGTCTTGGACTGCAGTGCTGTGGTGCAGCCCTGGGACGAGCTGCCTGTGACCCTCCCGTTGAGGACTCCCGAGGCTTTGCAAGCGTTGCTCTCCTGCAGCACTCCACCCTTTGGTCCCTTCAGAAGATTTAAAGTGAGGGCGGCAGAATCCGGTGCTTTCTGTATCAAATGCTTGTACCCCTTACCTTCTGTTACTTTAGTGGTCTTGCCTGAAGCAAACTGCCTTGGCAGACTTGAAGCCTTAAGGAGTTTAAGGTCCGAGGGCGAGATCTCAAGATGCCCTCGTGTGTACTTGGACTCCAAACAGGACACGGTAGTTTTCAGTGGCACCAGAGCTTCCAGAACTACCGACAGCCTCATGGCTGGATACACATCAGGATACATGCTTGCAGGGAAGTCCACTGCCGCGGCCTTGGACGTGCCGGATCTTGTCTGCTTCAAGGAGCTCAAGAGGAGATTTGTAGAATCCCCTTTAGGGACGGGCTGAGCGGAGACTTTCGCAGAGTTCACCGAGACGCTGGTGGGCGAAGCAGACACCTTTGTCACCGCCGCGGTGCTTCGAGCCGGACCCTTAGCAGACTCGGCGGTGTTGGCACAGTTGTGGGGGGTGCTCTCTTTTGACTGACTAGGTGTGTCTGCCGTGCACGAGCTGTACCCGTACACATCCTTACTCCTCAGAATTGTGGGTTGGTAGCCCTCCTCCTTCAGGCCCTGAATGAAGGCCACCAACTGGGTTTCCGTGTCCGAAAGGTCCTTGGACATTGGGTTGAAGACTCGGAGGGCTTCCTCCAGCACTTTCTGTCCTGCAGAAGAAATTCTTGACCAGGAATGAACAGCTTTTTCTTCCACATTGTTCACTGCACTATTCATGGCATTAGGCAAGTGGGTACTTCAAAAAGGTCCAAATTACTGGAAAAAAACAATCCTTGACACCTCAAAAGGAAAGAGAAAATAGTTACCTTACAGAACTGAAATCACCTTGCATTTTTAAGCAGGGATCTGAAACCACTAACCCCAGGCATGGCTACTTACAAACACCAGGTTGGATTCTGGGCATGAACCATGCTAGAAGCATCATCAAGACAATCCCATTACTGATTTATCTCTGAAGTAAAATTAAAACATCTCTCACATAATATCCTGAAACCTAAACAAAGATTTCAGGCAATCCCATCCAACCCATCCCAAGATGAAGGGTTCCAATGGTTAACTCGGTAAAATCTGCAGCTCCTTCCCAGTTTGAGTTTGACAGGTCCCAGCTTCAGGTAACCAGATCTCATTTTCCCGTGGTAAAGCAGCCCTTTGTTGAACCTTCTCCCTGCGCGCGCACTGAAACCACCATGACTGAGCCATCTCAACACTGGACAGCCTGAGCACCTCAAACTCATCCTGTCATCACGTTCAATTTTCCAGCTTCCTAATAATTGATTCTGCTCAACAACTGATTCTGAGTCCCTGACAAAGCTGCAGCATCTTCCTGAAGGCATGACAGCGGAGCTGGAGGCTATTTCAATTGTGCTTCATTGCTGCTGAACGCTGTGGCAAGGCAACACCGCTCCTCGCTGCTTCCTTGTTTCAACAACGGTCTGCAACTTGCTGTCACAGCAAGCTGGTGTTGATCCAAGGGCACTCGCTGCCAAGTGAAGAGGAAGCAGGAAATTCAAGCAGGGCAGCCTGAAGGAAACACACATCACTGGGGCCTGAGGGACAACACTGCACAAGCAGGGAAGAGACATGAGCCAAAGGCAGCGGCAGAAGGGGAAGCACAGGTCAGCGGAGGGGTAAGAGCCTCCGCATGACAGACTAATCTCAGTCAAGTGTTCTGCAGACATCACGGCAAAAGAGGGATTTGGAGGAGGATAATGCAGTGGTTCTGCAATAGATGGGGGATCTCCCGCAGAGGAGGGGAGGCAGGCAGGGAAGCGCTCCAACAGAGCAGCCAGCGCTGAGATTTGCCACCTCCAAAGTGAACAACCAGCAGCGGGTGTGGCGAAGGCAGCAAGGATGTAAAGCTTAATCCTGATCTGGTAGAGAGGGAGAAATCAATGGAGAAACACAAGTAACAACGTGTGCTCAACGGCCAAAATGGATCATCTTCAGGCTGCAGCAAGCCCAGGAGCAGCCGGGACACCTGAAGGGGTATGCTGATGCTGGACGGGGAGGCTGTGACATCTCATCAGGGACAGGGCATCTCAACAGCGATCCGCCCGGTGCAAGTTGTAGTAGGAGTGAAAGCTGGCCACGAGCAGGCACACCCCCAGCCTGCCCCCCCCCGACAGCACGTTCCCTCGCTTGACACACTACCGGGGGACGTGCACCAGCACCACCGGCCCGGGGGCGAGCAGCGCACCAGCGGGGACCCTCACGCAAACGCTCGAGAGATGCCAGCGCGGGTCTGGCGGCTTGCCTGTCCGGGCACGGAGCCCGAGGAAAAGGCTCCGCCGTGCTTCTTCGGGCTCACCGGAGGGGCAAATCGGCTGCCGGCGGGGCCGAGAGGGGTTGGAGGCTGAGCCCCTCCCCCGGCTCAGCCGCTGCTGCTCGCCCCTCGGTGAAGAGGCCCCGGTCCCTCGCTCCCGCCCGCACGGACTCCCCGCCCCTCCAAGGCTCGGCCCGGTAAAGCGGGGCCGGCGGCATCGCTGATCGGGCGCCCTCGGGAGAGGCTCCCGGGGCCGGTGCCCTGGCTCCGGTGCTGCGAGGCGGTGTTTGGTGCAGACAGCGGGTGCGGCCCCCTCGCTCGGCCCGCGCCAGCGGCCGGGCCTGGGGGGGGGGTGGGGGACCTGGACCGGGGCGGGGCACTCAGCTCCGCGGGGCTCCGCCTCCAGCGCCGCCGGGGGCCGCCCCACCGGGCGGCTCGGCAGCGCCCTCACCCGGGAACGCGGGGCCCAGGCACCGTCGGCCACAACCTACCGGCCGCCGCCAGACCCGCACCCACCGCTGCGCCGCGACCGCCGCTCCAACATGGCCGCCCGCGGAGCGCCGGAAGCACCGCCCACTTCCGCTTCCGCCCCCCTTCCGCCCACCGGGGCCACGCCCACAATCACGGAAGGGGGGGGGCCGCTATGCCCCCACCCGCCGCTGCCGCCAGGCCACGCCCCCTGACCCCGCCGCGTGAGCCGTGCTCGTGATAACGGCGGTCAGGCCGCCGGTGCTTCCTGGCGCACCTCCGGGCCGGCAGGGGGCGCTGCCGCCGCCGGCGTGAAGCGGCGAAGGGCGGAAGCGGCCTCGTTTTCAGGTAACGGCGGCGCGGCCGGGGCCGGTTCCGGTGGGGGGGGAGGGGCGATGAGCGGCGGGGCCGAGCGGCGGCGGCTGGTGCTACACGTGGACCTGAACAACACGGTGGTGGCGGCGGACGCGGTGTCAGGGCAGGGTCCCCGGGCAGCGCTCAACTCCTTCCTCAGCACCGTCACCTGGGGCCGCGCCGGTGCCGCCGGTGAGCGCCGGGGCCTGCGGGAAGGGGGGGGGGGGGGGGGGGGTGGGCGGCGGCTGAGCTCCCCCCTCTCTTGCAGGCGAGTGGCAGTGGGCGAGCGATCGCCCCTCCCTGGGTCCCCCCTGCCCCGGCGCCCTCAGCTACTACAGCCGCCACGGCCGGGATCCCGCCTTCACCGAGGCGGGCCCGGGCCGGTGCTTCGGCAGCCTGCACGCCCGTCACCTGCAGCTGCTGGAGTGGCCTGGGCGGCCGCACGACATCTTCTCGGTCCAGGGAGAACCCAGCAAGCGCTACCACCTGATCCTCCCCGCCTTCTTCCACCTCCTGGACGCCCTGCACCGGGACAGGAGGACGTTCGCTGTCGTCTTCAGGAGTTTCGGCGCAGACCTGCCCCGTGCCCTCCGGGCTGTGAGCTGCGCCCTGGCAGGGCAGCACCCCCAGTTCCCCGCCCTGCGGGAGGTGGCGGTGAGTGGCACCCTGAGAGCCCGGCGCGCTGGAGGAGGGCGGCCGGGTGGCCTGCACCAGGCTGCTCTCCTGACGCTTAGCCAGCCTGCTTTTAAAAACATCAGCTTCTCAGGATGAAGCTGTTAGGCAGGGAGGGGGGAGTGTGCGTGCGGGTGGATCCTGTGTGGGGAAGGTCTCCTCTCGGGGTATCACAGGCTGGATCCTTTCTCCTGGAGAGGGGCCGCTGTAGCGGAGCAGGGCTCCCTGGCTCAGAGCTGATTGCAGCTGCGCTCTCCCCCCAGCAGCACGCTGGGACAAGCTTCATAAGCTGCTTCAGTTATTCCTTGGGGCATTGATGGGAAACAGAGATTGAAACAGGGGCAGTGCGCAGCCAGGAGGTCATTCCTTTCCATCCCTGGGGGGGGGATGGGTTTTGAGCGGGGGGAGTTCCACGCCTCCTCCCCAGCGCCATCCTCCCACCCTGCGGTGGTGGGAATTCTCCACCCTGCTGCTTGGTGTCTCAGTCAATGCTCAAAACAACCTGCCTGCTTTGGAAACCTTCCCTCTCCCGCTTTCTGCAGCTCCCTGTGGACCTCACCCCTGGCCAGATACGCTGCAGCAAGCGAGAGGTGGTGCTGACAAGGGGAACAGAGCGGCTGGCTACCCGGGAAGATGGAAGAAAGCTTTACGACTACTTCAGCTCTTTTGAGGGAATTGGAGGCTTCCAAGACCACTTTGACTGGTGAGAAACAGAGCGCTGAAGAAGTGGATTGGGCATTTTCTTCTCTCCCGTGATTCTCCAAGCTTCTCCCAGTCTGGGATAGCTCCTAATTTTGAGGTCTTTACATTGTTGGGGCCCGTATGCTTACGTGCTCCCTGTTTTGCCTGTGTGCAGCCTGCTGGGACTCTCGCACCTTTCCTCAGGTCCCCATCCCCTGGTGTACTTCCTGCTTTTCTCCAAACACTCCCTGATGTGGAATGCCCAGGACACTCCAAACAGCGCCTGATTTGTCTGGGAGGCAGCAGCAGGCAGAGACAGTCTCCGTCCCACTTCCCAGAGGTTCCCCTGAGCCCACAGTGCAGCGTGGCCTGCCTTTACCCGAGGGCTGTTTCCCTCTCCCTGACTGCTCCTTGTCCTGCTTGCTGTTTCAGGTGGGCCAGAAATAAGTTCTCTTCCCGGGGTGGGAAGCCCCTGTGGATTGACCCCCACGATCCCAGTGTTCACCACATCTTCATCGACGACAACATCCGGCTGGACGATGCCGACACCATTGTCCATCCCCAGGTAGGAGGCTGAAGGCCCCTCCAGCCAGCTGCCTGCTCTGGGGGATGTCTCCGGTGAGGTCAGGCACATTTTTGTCCCTTTTGCATGAGCCTGCAAAGGGGGATCAAGGCATAGCCCTGGTGTCACTGTACCCTGTGCCATCAGTGTCAGTGGCAGCAATGTGTGCGGCTGCCAACAGGGAGGCTGAGACTGGACGCTGGCAGAGAAAAGCAAGTGCTGGCTGCCCACACCCGCTGCCGAGTGCCTCTGCCCCGCCGGGGTGAGTGAGCCCTGCTCCTGGTGGCAGTGGCAATGGTGGCAGGCCAGCCAGCCTCGGTGCACGGCCGCAGCTCGTCTGTGGCACCGAATTGAAAGGGCAGTGTTTGTGGTGGAGCACACTTCGAAACGGGAGCGTTTATGCAGACAGAAATGCCCCTGGCAGTCAGACAGCTGCCCGTGTTCCAACAAGAGCTGCAGATCCACGGGCGAGCCGGACCCCTTACCCGTTTCCATCCTGGAGGAGACAGCACAGAGCGGGGAAACCTGCGGCCACCGGTGAATGGTCAGCAGCGTTTGCCAGGCAGCTGGAGAATGGTGAGGGATGGGGTGCTCATCAGATATTCCCTTCCATACAAGCTCTCTCCGTTTGTGGATTTGTAGCTGATGTCAGGATTTGTTGCTGCCTGGAGCAGACCTGTCAGGAAAAGGCTTTGGTCCGTACCGTGCCTGATTGAGGGGAATTACTGTGGACAGTTCTGCTGAGAGCCTGAGGCCCCTGCGCGCAGCAGCTGCTGCCTGCATGCTTGCAGCAGCTGGAGCATGGCTCACGTGGCTCCACTTGCTGCATTTCAGCCTCAGACTGTTTCCCCAATTGAGGAGTTCCTGCTTCTGCCATATGTAGCCGGCACAGCTGGTCAGTCAGGCTGCTCAGCTTGTCTCGGGGCAGCCAGCCCCAGGGCTCCCCCCACACTGCATCAGACAGGTAGGATCAAGTTATGGTGGCAGCAGACCTCGCTGGGCTCTGGGCGGCAGCCAAGCATCTCGCCAGCAGGGCTTATTCCCACTGCCAGGACTTGGCTGTCCTGCAGCCAGGATCGGTAGTTTGGATGCCAGCTTCCCCTCCTCTTGAGTCACCAACTCTGCAGGGCTGTTCCCTGTGTCACTGATGGGGACAGAGCAGCGCTGGGAGGGAAACAGAGTGCTCAGGGGCCTGAGGCAGAGCCGTGGTAAAGATCAGAAGGTGAAGTCCCTGTTCCCTGCTCTGTGACAGGCTGTGGCAGCCAAAGGAAGAGCTGTTGGCAGAGGTATTTCTGGGGTCGGCTGCCCCACAGAGCTGTCATCTTCCAGCTGTGTGGTGTGCGCTGCTCCTTAGGGGTGCCCCAGCCCCATGTGTCACAAGCTGTTTCGGAGCCAAAGGCACTTTCTGGGTGGAAATCTGGAAAAACTTCACCTTCTACCATTGAAGTGGAGCTGGCAGCCCCTGCCCTCTGCCTCCGACCCACAGCCAGCATGAGGAGGGCAGGGTGCAGCGCCAGCTGCGTGTGCCACTGCCAGGCTCTGCGCTGATCCCTGGCACCGCTCCCCGCGGAGGCTGCGAGTGCTTCTGCGCGCTGCTCTCCTCCCCGCAGGTGTTTTCGGAGCGGGGCGGCCGCAGCCCCAGGCGCGCTCCCACCTCGGAGCTGTACGACGTTTGCCTGGTGCAGACCAACCTGCTGGAGGCCATTGCTGAGGAGGACTATTTCCTGCGCTGCGTGAGGAGGTGTGAGGAGAACTATGACCACTACCTGGCCTGCATGGAGAAGGACACCCCGAGCCAGTGGTGCGATGGGCAGTGATGGCACCGCGCGGGGCCGAGGGGCTTTGGACTGGGACACCCCTTCCTTCCCGCTGCGAGCAGGCAAAGTCCCGGGCTGGGCTTCGAGCTGTCCCCTCTCTGATGCGTAACGCGCCCGCTCAGCCCTACCGGGAGCCTCCATGCCTGATCACAAGCACCCTGGGAGGATTTCCTTTTCTTGGCAGCGCTGGGGGCAGCTGCCTGCCTGGCTGGAGCTCCGCAGGCAGCGCTGCCCCTTGTGCCGGCTCCTGTGTGAGGGCTGGGGCTTGCCGTGCCCCTCCACTCGCCAGGCAGGGTCTTCCCCCCGCCCCCCCCCCCCCCACCAGCGGCAAGGCAACCAGCCACGCAGTGTTCACGCCTCCCTTCCCACTCCCACACTGGTGGCTGGTGCAGGGCTGAGCGTGGTGTTACCGGCAGGACGCCCAACTGCTGTTTGCACTGCGGTGTTCTCCCCAGCAGAGCTGGTGAGGCCGTGTCACTTCTGCCTGTTTTTTAAAGCCAACCTTTCTAACTCCTTTCTGGTGTGAGTTTTCTGCCTGCCCTTGGCTCTGCCTGTGCTGGTGGGTGGAAAGCGCCTTTCCTGGCACGTTCACGGGCAGGGCTCAGCCCAGGGGGGACAAAAGCAACGATAGAGGGGTTGGGACCTGCGTGCACCTTCTCGATGCTGCTGAGAGACCCCGGTAAGGTCGTGCTCGGAGCGGGACTGAGCTCGTGCTCAGTCCCCAGCAGTGGTGATGGGCAAGGGCTCCTCTTCGGGGCAGCGCGCTGGCTTCTCAGCTTCATGAGCCCGGCGCTGGCCTGGCCCCAGCTCCAGCAGCGTGGGGCTGGGGAGCTCAGAGCAGGGGGCCCCACCGCCGAGGGGTCTCTCCGGTCCCTCTTCCTGCGGCCGCTCCTTTCCCGGCGGGATGAACGGGGCAGGGGCTCGGCGCGGGGGGGGGGGGGGGGGGGGGGGGCCGGGGCGGGCGCGGCGCCGCCCCCACCGGCAGCGGGCGGGCCCGGCGCGGGCGGCGGCGGGGAGAGCGGCGGAGCGGGCGGAGAGGTGAGCGCGGCCGCGGTCCCGGTAGCGGGGCGGCGCGGCGGTCCGAGGGGTGCGGGGGGGGGAACCCCGGGGGGTGCAGGCTGGGCAGCGGGAGCCGCGGGGAGCAGCGATCTGGGGGTGGCAGGCTGCGCGCCGGGAGCAGGAGATTCGCGGGGAGGGTCCGGGTTGTGCACTGGGAGCCTCGGGAGGGGTAACCGGCCGTGCACCGGGAGCCCCGGGGAGCGGGAGCTTCGGGGTGGGGGGGGGTACGAGCCGTGCACCGGGTGCGCCGGTGGGTGCGAGCAGAGAGCCCCGGGGAGAGGGAGTCCTCGTGGGTGTGGGTCGACAGTCCCAGGGTGCGGGAGTCCCAGTGGGTGCAGGCTGTATGTACATCGGGAGCTCCGGGGAGTGGGATCCCCGGTGGGTGCAGGCAGAGAGCCCCGGAGAGCAGGAGCCCGGAGGGCACGGGCTGAGAGCCGTGGGGGGGGGGGGGGGGGGGGGCTGTCACACCACCGAGGGGAGCTGGCTTGGTGAGACCGGGGAGAGCGGTGGGTACCTGGGTGCTGACTCGGGTGCTGTCCCCGCAGGAGGTGGTGGTCGCGCTGAGCCGGGCCGGATGGGCGGCACGGCAAGACCAGGGCCCGGGGACCCCCGGGGCGGCTGAGGGGGGCCCATGGCGGCGGGCGCGGGCGCCTTCGCGTGGGCCGCCTTCCCCGCCATGCCCACGCGGCGCGTGTACTGCAGCGCCGCGCACCGCGACGGGCAGCTCTTCGTGCTGGGTGGCTGCGGCGGCGGCGGGCGAGCCCTGGGTGCCGCCGAGGTGCTCGACCTCCCGGCCCAGCGCTGGACCGCGCTCCCGCCGCTGCCCACGCCGCGGGCCGGCGCCGCTGCCCTCGCCCTGGGCAAGCAGATCCTGGTGGTAGGCGGCGTGGACGCGGCGCAGAGCCCCCTTGCCTCCGTCGAGGTCTACCACGTGGATGAGGGCAAGTGGGAGAAGAAGGCGGCGCTGGCTCAGCCCTCCATGGGCATCTCGGCTGTGCAGAGAGGTGAGGGCTGGCGATGGGCCTCGGCTGCAGGTGCCTCTGCTGTCTGGAGAAGCGGGATGCAGGGGTTGAGGATGCTTGAGTGGGATTTGAATCCCGCTGCTGCTTGGCATGCAGCACGTGGCTTTCACCCAGCAGCCAAACTTGCCACTTAACAGCAGGAACATGCTCCTGCCCCAGCAGCCCTGTTGCAGCCTGGAGCTGGGTGATGAGGAGCCCCTCCAGGCACAGGAGCCTTTCCCAGCTGCCCAGGCTGGGAGCTGTGCTGGGGCAGCCGAGCACCCTGCTCCATCCTGGCTCGGCGTGCTGTCTGTCAAAGGCATTGTGATTTCTGCCCAAACTTTGCTGAGCAAGCTGTGCCTTGGCACAGCCCGGCAGCCCGCGTGCTGGGAGCCGGGGTTGGTCCCCGTATGTGGTACCCGTGTCTGCTCCCTGGCTGGGGATGCCGGGGCACAGCCCCAGGCTGCAGCGGGGTGGGCAGGGCAGAGGGGACGGCAGGGCAGCGGTGGCAGCAGGCAGGGGTGCCGGCCGTGCCGGGAGCAGGAGCAGGATTTGGCAGCATGGCTGTGTTGCCATGGTGTCTCCAGGGAGATGGTACTGCCGAGAATAATTAGAGCCGATGGCCTTGTGCTCCGCTCTGCGCCTGATGGATGGGGCGGAGACGGGGGTTGAGAGGGTCCCAGCGGGGTCAGGGCACTGCTGGGCTCAGGCCTGGCTGCACGCACTGGCCCCTGGCCACCCTGGAGCAGTGGCTGGCCATGGGGCTCGGCAGCACCTGCGCTGCCTGCCCTGGAGGGCACTGGGGGGGACTCCCAGCCCGGCGACACTGCCCACGGCCCCCCCAGCCTCACTGCTGCCTCTTTTGCAGATGGGGCCGTCTACGCTCTGGGGGGAATGGGTGCGGACACCTCTCCCCAGGCATTGGTCCGTGTCTACGAGCCAGCGAAGGACCATTGGCAGCCCCTTCCCTCCATGCCCACCCCCTGCTACGGGGCCTCTGCCTTCCTGCAGGGCAACAAGATCTTCGTCTTGGGTAGGTACCACCGAGGAAGCCGAGCATCCCCCCGGCGCCCCTGCCTTCTCCCTCCTCTGCCTCCTCAGACCGGGGAGTGACCTGGTGCACCCCAGAGTAGCTCCGTGCTGCTCTCCTGCCCTAGCACTGCAGCCAGTGGGCCCCATCCTGCTTGCTGAGCCCACCGATGGTGCCGTCTTGGGGCGCTGGCAGCCTCAGCGTCTTGTCTGCGCGCAGGGGGCCGGCAAGGCAAGCTGCCCGTCACCGCCTTCGAGGCCTTCGACCTGGAGACGAGGAGCTGGACGCGCTACCCCAGCGTGCCCAGCCGCCGCGCCTTCGCCGCCTGTGCCATGGCCGACGGCGTCGTCTTCAGCCTGGGGGGGCTGCAGCAGCCAGGTCCCCACAACTTCTATTCCCGTCCCCACTTCGTCAACACCGTGGAGATGTTCGATCCTGCACAGGGTGAGCTCCAAGTCCCTGGGTGGGGTGGGAGTGTCCCCTTGCAGGTCCAGGATGCTGCCCTGGGCCTTGGTGAGGGGTGTCCATGCCCAAGGGACACGGTGCATCCAGGCTCTGAGCATCAGCCCCTTGAACCCCTGGCGAGTCCTGCCCTGCACTCCCTGGCCCCAGCGAGCTGTTAGCTTGGGGTTTTCCTGGCCTCTGTGTGTGGAGAGGAGCCCCGGCAGGCGATGTCCATACCCTCTCACCCGCAGGTGCGTGGAGCAAGCCGAGCCGTGCTGTCCGCATGAGGGAGAAGAGAGCTGACTTCGTGGCCGGCTGCCTGGGAGGAAGAGTGGTGGCCGTGGGTGGCCTCGGTAATGCTGGGGGTAGGCGTGTGGCCGTGTTCCCATCCCCATCTTTTGTGGCACATCAGTGGCCTGCGTGGCAGTGGGGAGGTTGTGCAAACCCATGGGGGTACTGCAACATCATCTGCAGCTGTGTGCCTCCTGTGCTCCCCAAGTGCTGGGGGGATCCTACTGCCCTGCCCCACAAGCTGCCCTCGCTGAGCCACTGGCCTCTTTCACCCCCTGGCCAGGCTCTCCCCAGCTCACGTGCAACGTGCCGGGCTAGCACAGCCCATGCCAGCACAGCCCATGCCAGCTCAGCCCCGCCACGCAGGGCTGCAGCATCACATCCCTCTCCTGAGAGAGCTGGGAAAAGGTTAGTGCTGTCACTCAGCAGCGGGGATGCAGCGAGGAGGGCTGCCCAGGGAGTCCAGTGCCAGCTGCAGCACCCCCAGCCCTGCAGCAAGGGCTGCCAGACCCTGCCAAGCTCACCGGGGGTGAGCCAGACCTCCTGCTGCGGGGCAGGAGGAGGTGATGGGGAAGGCGAGCGGTGCTGGCTGGATCCCTGTGGTGTGGTGTTGCTCCTGAGCCCCACTGCAGCTAGAGCTGCCCTCCCTTTTCCCCCGGTGATGGTGGCGGGGGCAGAGCCAGCTGCACGGCATCCGTGCCAGCAGCCTCCTCTGTGGGGATGCCACTAATCCTCTTGTGCCCCTGCTAATTGCCTCTGGGATTGCAGAGCTCCTGCAGCCCAGGGCTCAGGGACCAGCTGCCGCTGCGGGCTCCGGCTGGAGCATCAAAGGCGTGTGAAGGGGGAGAAACAGCCTCAGATGTGGAGAGGGCTGTGGAGGAGAGAGGCTGATGCCATTCTGTCTCTTGCAGGGAACCAGTCCTGCCCGCTGGACTCAGTGGAAGGGTTCAGCCTCTCGCAGAAGAAGTGGGAGCCACTGCCCCCCATGCCCACTGGCCGCTGCTCCTGCTCCAGCTGCCCAGCGCCCAGCCTGCTCTTTGTCATCGGTGGGGTGGCCCAGGGCCCCAGCAGCGCTGTCGAGGCTCTGTGCCTGCGTGAGGTGCCCTGAGTGGGACCCCAGGGACCAGCCCCAGCCAAGCACCAAGTGCCTGAAGACGGGGACAGGGTGTCAAAGCACCCGTGCGTGCGGGTGACCCCGCTCCGGGGAGCTGCTGTGTCGCTGACGCCGGGTGCCGGAGCAGCCATGGTTTCTCACCATGCTTCAGAAACCCCTCGGCTCCTGCACTGCTGTGGCAATGGAGCCCAGGGCAAAATCCTGCCTGGTGGGAGGGCTGCAGCCGGCAGCGCAGAGGGAGCCGCGGCGGCAGGACTGTTGCTGGCCGCGCTGCCCGGTCCAGCCCCATCCGTGCCACGGCGTGTCTGTGCCGTGTGTGTAGCAGTGAGTGCTGTGTCGTCGTAGACCCAGTTGATGTCTTATGTAGCACAGAGGTGCCCTGTAGCTCAGTGCCTAGGAGGTGACGTAGCACCTTGAATAAATGAAACACATGGTATTTTATCCTGCTTGAGTTGTGTCGTCCCTGGTTATCCTGCTCTGGGCAGGGACATGCTGCAGTCTGTCAGGAAACCTCATCCCATGAGAGACCCCCGTGAGCCCTTTGCTGGTGGGACCCCATACTGTGGGGCTGGGGCGGCTCTTGCTCCTTTCCCTCCTGCCAGGGCAAGCAGAGCAATGTGATGTAGGAATCTGGCCCTCCTATTGGAGTGGGAGAGCTGCCTTGCCTCAGCACAGCCTTGCTCCTGCTCAGCCTCTCCTGTGGGCAAAGGGGCTGTGGGGGGTGAAGGCAGCAGCAGGAGAGGGGCTTTGTTGGAGGAAGCTGGAGTGCGAGAGAGGACAGGGAGAGGTGAGGGCTGCCAGGATGCTGAGAAATAAGATGAGATGCCTCATGATGCTGGGGCTCTTGGGCCCCGTCCAGCACCACAGCCCTGTCTCAAAGGATGGAGCGTGGCTGGTGCCCAGGAGAGCTGCATCCAGCTGTGTCCAGCTCGCCTGGGCAGGAACAGAGCACCTTCTGATTACCAGCGCCGTGAAGGGAAGGGAAGCTCCATACCGATGGTGTCTGTGGGTGACATTTAGGGTTGCACAGTGAGACTGGTGTGGGGGTGATCCATCAATTGCCTGGTACCGTGGGGTCACCTGAGACTCACTGGTCTTGGCTCCATGCAGAGTCACACACAGCAGAGAGCAGTGGTAGCAGACACAGGTGAGGGATTCAATCTTTCAGTGGTACGACATTAGAAAGATTTCACAGGTCTGGGTAAATATCAAGCGCAGATACCTGACCTTTTGGAAAAGACAGCCGTTGCGATGCTCAGGTGGGTGTCAAGGCCGAAGAGATGGGAGGCTGAATCCTGGCAGAGTACAGCAGCATCCAGCACGCTGCTGGGGCAGGCTGTGCCATCATCTGGGGGCGTCGTGGCATGGGGGAAGTTGGAAACGATTCAGAAAAGAGCATTCACAAGATGTTTTTGGTGTCATTACCCCATCGCCTCCGCTGTCTGCTCAGCGCAGTGACTGTGGGGTACATCCCGATGTGCCACATGGCTATTTGCCTGCGTTTTGGGAGGAACATCCTGGGATACCTGGGCTGGCGGTACCTCGGCTGAAGCCATCCCTGCATCTGCCTCTGGAGTTGCCATAGAAACCACCGCTGTGCCAGAGCCAGCATCAACAGGGAGCCCCGAATTAGTGATTGAGCTGTACCTCGGCAGCTGGGGGGATGTGCTGGCAGCCAGAGAAGGTCAGTGGCTTGCGCTGTGCCAGGGGGGCTGGACAGAGGAACCCCCTCCTCTGACGTCTCCTATGAATACTGCAGCAGCACCCCATTTTCACAGTGCTCCCTAACCCGTGCTCAGTCCCAGTGGACTTTTCCTTTCTGGGGTTCTGGGAGGTGACAGACCCCTCGGTGCCACCTTGGAACCTCTCCCCAGGCTACCAGCCCTTTCCAGAAGCCACCAAGGCATGTAATAACTTCACTCTCACCAAAACTTTAGTCATGGGGGACTCAAAAATCACAGATCTGTGTTGGAAATGCAGATCTGATTAATAAGCTTTTCCCACAGGAGCATTGCATAGATGGAATAAATCAGATGCTGAGTCACAGGCAAATTGACATCGCTGAGTGCCAACTTTGCAGCTTTCCCTGCTGATGATGGGGCACCCGGTGTTGCTTTTTCCAAATTCAAGGCAACACCGGCTGCAAGAGCCGGGAGATGCCGGAGGGGGAAGCCCCTCACTGTTGTGGTGTTTCCAGCAGTGGGACCGACAGACGCTGCCCCACAAGGGGTTTGCCCCTTTCTCAGCAGCACCTTGCTTCATGCACACAGTTGCCCAGCACACTGACCCGCTGCAGGGACATTTGGCTTGGCTCTTCTACCCAAGGCAAACAGAAATCCGTGACCTCTCCTAAAAGTGTGCATTTCTCATTCTTTTCTATCTCTGGTTTTGGGCACAGGACCAGAATCCCATCCAAATGAGGGGAGGAGAGCAGCCAGGAAGATAGCCAAGGACATCTCGGGGTGGATGGAGAGATCTTCAGGCAAAGGGATGATGGTCCTGACCACCCTTGGAGACTGACACATTATTAACTGAAGAGCTCCTGTGAGTTTCTAACGAAATGAGCTACAAAGAAGAAAAAGTTGAGGGACGTACCAAATATATTGCTGTCTATCTCCTGGCAGCTTCTGCTAATTTTTAATAAATGAAAGGCTTCAAGTATCTGGCCACACTCCCTAATGCTAGAAGCACAGTCTGTTACTTCAGATATAAGGAGAGCTACAAGCCAGCGCTTGGCAACGTTGCTAATCTCCTCAGAGCGTATTATGGATGGGGGAGACTGGAACTGGAGGTAGCTGTCAGACCTATAATTAAAAAAACGTGTTTCCTTATAGAAATTTCTTTCTGTTGACAGGAGAGATGGAAATACAAAAATCTCATCATATTACACAAACTTGGTAGACGCTTAAACCAGAAAGCTCCAGCCACACCAGAAATAGGAATAGCTCTGTGTAATAACCTAAAATAACAAGCTGAGCATTATTGCCAGTGCTTTGCGCAATGGCAAATCCTTTCCTAAGGGCAGTGGAAGTGCTGTAAATGGGTACAGGGCTCTACAATGTCTTCTAAAGGCAGATCCAGGCCAACTTTCCAATTACAAGCAATGAAATGATGGAAAATCGTAATTTATGATGCAGGGCCATATAGGACCTGGGTGCACAGCAAGGCTCTTGGCAGCAGCACTACGTACCGGGCTGTACAACAGAGCTGTAGGCAGGTCAGGAGCAGAACAAGGATTTTATTTACTCAACAAGGGCAATAAACATTAACGTTCCCATCACCATGGCTCTCTGGAGGAAAGTTTGCCTTCCAGCCCACGGCTGCCTTGGACAGCCTGGCCGTTATCCCATCCCTGAAGCAGGAACACAATCTAGGCTGTGATTTCCTGCTCCAGTTCCAGAAAATCAACCCGTTAGCGGCTTATTGTGCAGGTGAGAGTTAATAAACCGCCGTGATAAATCTGAGCTATTTATACCAGCCCTAGCACCGTAGTGACAAGAAAAACAATGCAGCCAAAGTCACTCCAATAAGTTTTTTATGGGTAAAAGGCCAGGTTTTTTTGGTTTGTTTTTTGTTTGCTTGTTTGGGTTTTTTGGCTTGTTTGTTGTTTTGTTTGTTTTTTCTTTTTTCTAAGTGAAATCTTTATTTGTATGGGATTTGATTAGGAAACCAGATATATACATCAAGAAAGCCATAATTTTGACCCCTCTGGGCTCCAGGCTGTCTTTAATACTAAAGCCAAAAGAGCATAAAGGGGAATGTGAGTAGTTCCCCTAATCTATCCAGGAATTTATATCAACCTTATTTCTACAGTAGTTTAGTGCTTATGGAGTACTTTCAGAACGAGCAACCATTTTGATGAGTATTGAAACAGTTTTGAATTAAAGGAGGAAAAAACAGGCAAGTAAGCATGCCCATTTTCCATTCCTGAAGATGGAGAATGCAGAAACACAAGGAAAAAATTCGAGTAAAACCATATTTGAGAATCCTTCTCTGGGGAGTGTTTAGATGATGGGTTATTTTTGTCATACTTTTAACGGCTGAAATCAAATCATGCTGCATTTCTGCCAGAGGTATTTACACAAGGCACCGCACACCCTCCGGCCGCGAAGCAAACGGGTGCCGTGGCTGCCGTGCTCCCGTGGGAGCAGCCTTCGGCACGCCAGTCTCCGAGCCTCCTCTTCCTCCCGCCGCCCCGTGATGGCCCCGGGCTCTGCTCCCAGGCGGAGGGGCAGGCCCTGGCCGGGTGCCGGGAGGGGGAGAGATCAGAGCTTGGGCTAACCCTGGAGTCCACGGCCCCGGGGTGAGGTGCAGGGACCCCCGGCCCCGGGCTGCGAGGCTCCGTGGGGCAGGCGCCCCTGGCCGTGGCCGAACCCTGGGCCCGCGGGGAGCCACCAGGCCCAGCCCCGGGGTGGCCATGTTGGCCGGGCCTGCCCTTGGCCTGCAGAGCCCTGTGTCCCCCCAGGCTCTCCCCGCAGCGAGGGGGCGCAGGGGGACCATCCCCTGCTATGAGCAGGGTTTGGCCATTTCTCCCCGTTTTCCTCCTCTCTGCAGGGCAGCGTGATGGCATGGCCACCACGGGGGAGGAGAGGTGGGAGCAGGGGCTGTGCGTGCTGAGGCCACAGTGAGGGTCGGGAGCTCCCAGCGAGGGTGTCAGCCGTGAAAAAAACAATTAAAAAAAAAAAAAAAATGAATTTTAACGTCTGGAATATCAAGGAGATGTTGAGCACACCAACAGCCATCGGGTGAGCTTGGGCTATGGGGTGGGGAGGAAAGATCATGAGGAAATTGTATGTAAAATTAAACACTTCAGGTATTTGATAGTGGTGGGGTGAAACACATCTAGAATCAATCTATGGTTAATTACAGTCTGGTTAACAGTGGTTAGTCAGCCTGCTCCATGATCCTGTTTGTGCCTGCACTGCTCCCAACCTGCCAGGTGCTGCCGTAGATCCACCATGGCTGGGAATTTAAAAACCAGCATCAGCTGAAAGCTGTTCTCTGGTTTATTCAGGGTTTATTCAGGGAGGTCCTGTGGCCTGTCTATGTCTAGTTAGATAAGTTAAATGTTCCTTCTTGCCTTGTGCAGAGGGTAGATAAAATGAATCATGATTTGCAATATTGTTACACATTACGTAACTCTAAAATTATTCCATATCCTGCATTTATACGCATGGCTTAATTTTTTCCCAGCAGAAGCCAAAGAGCAGCCAGAACTCCCCACAACTACAGTGTACAGTGAAACAACAAATATTATTTGGATGTAAACATCTGCAGAGCAAATACATAAGACAGGCTGCATTTTTTTACAGCAGAGCATCGCCTTTTGCATCACATGGCTAAAAAAGACAGCGAGATTTATCCTTTGTTTGGCTCTGGAGAAGCTAATTCATGAATTTGGTCCTCTGAGCCTCTGTTAGTTAAATAACCCACTTACATAACTAAATGTTGTTCAAATTCACAGTTTTAGTCATACTGTCTTTTTGGCCTGATGTTACCACAATGATGGCTGATAACAAAAACCTAATAGTAGTTTTCTTGCCCATTATAAAAATACTTGTCACATATATATGAATTAATTGAATTTTGCACAGATGCGGGGGTCGAAGGGGAGCCAATTCAGGGAAAAACATGTTTATATCTGTCATGGTTTTATCTTTATAAATATGCATTGCATAATTCTATTGTCATCTTGGTACCTGCAGGGGGTTTTAAATTTTTTTTTTAAATTTGCTTTCAGTAAGTTGCTTCTAAATAGTTTGAAAACCTGTGACTTACTTTCTGCTCAGGAGAAATTTGGAGGATATATAAAAAGTACATATTGTTTGTTATATATATAATTATTTTTATGTTATATATGACATATCATATATTATCTGCTATATACACACCATTTTGTGGAGCTGTGCAATAGGAAAGAAAATGAGTGGGAGATGTACAGGTGCCTGTTTGGAAAGGGATCACTTGAATTCCTTCCTCCTCCCAAGTATCCTGTCAGCTACGGTCTTCCCTTTTAACTCATGTATTAATGTAGAAGGAAAACACAGACAAGATTTTAACACGCACTCCTCAGCACTCCACATTTTTTGCAAGTGACTTCAAAAGGGTCGAGTAGGGCATAAAACATAACTGAAGACGCAGCTGGGTTTTTGAAGGAGTTAAGAAGGGAGAGAAGGTTCTCAGGAGGAGAATTAACTTTTTTTAAAGGAAAAAAAAGGTTACTTGTAGGAACATGTGTATGTGTATTTGAAATAGGGGAAAAGGTGTTGATTACTTTTCCCTGGCTCACTTCTGTTACTAGAATCCTTTCTCTCTACAGCAGGGTATGCAGTTTAATCCCCAGAATACTCTTTCAGGGAGCTTTAAAAATGAAACATAAAATCAGCGTATAATCCAGGCAGGGTATGAATCATGCTGTGAGTTCTTTGCAAGCTTGAGTCAGGTTGTTACTTCTGAGAGCAGCTGCCACCAGGTCCCTAGGAAACGCAAAGCTCCAGTGATGCAGTGCCCTCATGGCAGCGGTTCTGCACAAGCCCAGGATTGCTCTGGGTTTTGTTCGCTATCTATCTGTCACACACACATGCCTCTCTGTAACTACTGGCAGCCTGAGAAATAGGGTGGGGGAACCAAAGTCCCTGTTTTATCTGGTTTTATGTATGAAAATTGACATAATAGAGATCCTAGAAGTGCACCAGAGGGAAGATTATCTAGTTGGACACTGTAATATCAGGGTGCCAATTATTTAAGAAGGTGGGAGGGGGCCTTGTGAATAAAATGATGGCTATACAGTGGAGAAAACTTAGGTTCATTTTAAGTGTATTGACAAATGACACAATTTTTGTTGACTGAAATGCCAGACTTCATTAGGGAAAGTGCTGCGTTAGATCAGCACTGCTGCCTGCCCAGCCAGAAGGGCAGGCAAAGAAAGATCACAGAGGATGTGAGAACAGCAGATGCAAAAGCAGTGGTGCTTCAATCATCCTTTTATCGACTGGATAAGCATCACTGGGGCATGATGCTGAAAGTACATTTTCAGACACCATAAATACCTGCCTTGGCTAGGGAACTGCTGGGGAAGAGACATGTCCTGCCTTGGCCCTCAGCTGAGGGTGTTACTCTTGTAGTGCTACCATGAGAGTGACAGGGGTGAACTGGAATCAACATCTCTGCAGGAGCAACAGAAGCCAAAAAATCCACTACTGTCTAATTTCAAAAAAGACACCAACGTAGTAATAAGTAAGCTCATTAAAAAGAAATTAAACCGGACAGCCAAAAAGGCTAAATGTTCACCTGAGGCTTAGAGATTATTTAAACTTCACATTGAAGCTCAGAACAAATGTACACTAGCTATCAGATCAGATATGAGAAGAACCAATACCAGACTGGCATGGCAAAGAAGACTACTGAAAATGAGAACACATCCTTCAAGAAGTGAAAGACTGAAAAATAAAAACTAATTTGATTTGAAATGGAAATTATGAGAATTTTCTTGTTCCATGAGAAAAGCAGTAACTTGCTGAAGGCACAAAAGACAATAATACACCTACTTCTGAAGATATCAGAAGCAGAAATCCTGCCAGGGAGTGTGTAAGGCCAATATATAACAATATTACAGAGACATTCAAAACGGATGCTGTAAGTTGAGACCTGCATGGCCACTACTCTCTATGGCTTATTTCTGTTGTTGAGAAAAAAACTTCTAAATTTAACAACCTCATTCAATCCATTATCCCATGAAATTCCATCCCACATAGCAGGACCACATATTTTGAAGCTGCCTTAAGGTCCCAGAATATGCAGAAAATGAAGGAGACAACCAGGACAAAGACCGGGAGAGCAGCTGTAAAAATCCTGAGCCTTGGAGGAATGAGCAACCAGGGCTGTAAGTGCAGGCGGGAAGATGGCTTCAGGCTGGGACGGGGGGGCAAAAAAACCCATCTCCAGATGTCCAATTCCTAATATGGTCAGAGACATTTTGTGTAAGTAAAATTTCCTGCTCTGTGGAAATACCAATTGCCTCCTAAGGAAAAGGCTCTGCGAGCCCCTGCAACCAGTGACAGACAAAGGGCTAACACAGTTTCCAAGGTGAGGAACGTCTGGGTAGTATTGAATCACAGACGAGTGAATAATAGAGGCTTATAGAAAGTAAAAATGACCTTGAGGAATTAAAACAAGACCAGAAGGACTTTGAGCCTGAAATCTGTAATCTGGAGGCAATGTTTGAGCTGAATAACTGAGAGGGATTTCGTTGTGGTTAATGTATTAGGGCCAGTGCCAAAATCTGTTTGTAGAAATTCCTTTTAGGATATGGTAGAAGTGATTTGCAGCAAGCAGGTCATGTTCCAGAGAACAGAAAGCAGAATAATAATTTTATGCTGTGGCTGTTCCTAGTGAAGAGATGGCAAATGGCTGGAAGCTGCAATAGCAGCTAAAACTCCTTAATTTAAATTCCTCCAGGCCCCTGGACACTGAAGTTCCTCTGTACTCAAAGCCAGCAGTGATCCTTGCACATTTGTGGAACACGTTGGCAGGCAGCAAACAGTGATGGCAAGAGCGGCACAGCAGAGCTAGAGACAGTTCCTATAGATGCAGACTAAAGCCAGGAGGAAGAGCAGGGGAACAGCAGCTCCCAGAATTTCAGTTGGATTTGTTGTGATGCAGCCCTGGTCACTAAATGAGGAGGAGCAGAAAGGGCTGGGAGATTTTCTGGAAGGCAATCAGGAGAAGCGGAAATTCACGGCACTGATCCTGCTTGAGATTACTACCAGGAGAAAAAGTTCCCTTCTTTGGGAAAGAACGTTTACTGCACTTCGAAGAAATATGTCAGGAAGGTGTAAGCAAGCTTCACCCACAATGCCTGGGAAGAAGAGAGATGTTGGCACAGGTTCAGTGGGGATGACAGAACCAAATAAAATCACTTGCAGAAGCATTGCAAATAAATGATACTTTCCAAGTTGTAGAAGACACAATTTGCTTTTCCAAATGGATCCCAAACCTTGGTCTTGGTGCGCAAGGATGGATCCAAACAACAGAATAAAAATTACCGATTTTAAAAAAGACTGATAAGGCCTAGGGCAATTTATAGTTAAGAGTTTTTAGCTTGTTAATGCCCCTAGAAACATCTAGGAAACAGACGAAGAGGGTATTTATGGCTTGCTATGTTTCTCTTGGGTTGTATCTGACAGTTGTTTGGCGGCAAGGCAGAACCTTTGAATGAAAGGTGAACATTTGCATATGGATGTGCTAAAATATTTGGAAGTGGAAATTGGATCATAGAAAAGTGAAAGAAAGCTCCCAAAAGGTCTAACTTCTCCTGTGGAGGGGGAATTTCCACTGACAACAGGGAAACTGATACTGCGAAGAACTAGCTGACTCCCCAGATATGGAGAGGGCTGCAGGTTTTTTAGATCATGCTCATATTACAGAAAGGGTCGGAGTTGCCAATATTGGAATACCTTGCATAAAGTTAGATGGGAAAAAAAAAAAAAAACATTCCATCGGTCAGCAGAGGATAATTTAGTAATTTTTGGAGCTGACAAGAACTTGACTACTTGACTTACCTACCTAAAGCTAGTTTTGCTTTGGATGCATATGCTAGTGCCAATACCATAGGAACATTATGGGCACAGATGCATGAACAATTTAGGAATGGCTCATGTTAAGAGAAAGCTAAAAGTTCTCCTGAGGTAAACTATTGCATTACCTAGGAGGGACTTCTAACTGGGATTAAATATCTAGGATGTTTCCTCACTGTTTATAAGGAAAGGTTTATATTTAGGACGGAGCATGCATCCCTGCAGCTCAGGCATCCTGAAGGGAATGGTCAGGTGGTTAGAAGAGCTGTGGTTGCCTGATCATGGATCTGATCACAGACCTGATCACGCTTGTCTGATCTCACCATCAGGGATAGACCTGGGCCAAGTGTGGCCAGGCTGATGTCTTGCCCAGATGGTCTTGTTAGTAAATTAAATGCCAGCAGTGTTAAGCAAGGGAGAAAGAAATCCGTTGCTCAGGGGAATGACTGTATTCAAAAGAGACATCTGTTTTGTCTCCCCCCCACCCCTAATTTGCAGAAGTGCCATTGTTCCTAAACCAACCACTGAGCTAGTGGACTTAAGGCAGAAAAATTAGGCTCCAGAGCAGCTGACAACTACCTTTGGTTGTAGTGTCAGTGCAGAGTGAGCCTGGAAAGTCACTTGGTTCCTAAAGTCCTCTCAGCTCAATACTTCTCAAAATACCAGTCATAAAACTCTTTGTTATAGGATTCTTGTACTTCAGGCATTAAGTAATGTGAAGGGACTAAGAAAATGAGCAGGTTTTTGGGTGTGATATTCACTAGTTGTACCAGACACTTTCAATGGGGGTTTGATAAGACAGTAAAGCGCTTAAGGATTATAAACCCCCTTAAACTAAGAGGGAGCTTTCTCAGCTAGAAGACAGGAGGGTCTATAAAACTGGTGCAGGAGATGTGATGCTCACATTGCAAACAGGGATCCTGCCCATGTGGGGTCATGGCAGCCCGTGTGCTCACATCCCTCCTTGACATGCTGGCTGTAGATTAAGAATTATTTTTTTTTTTTTTACAAAGCTTAGCTGAGATGGAAACAAGAAGCTGTGCTAGTAAAAGTTGTATTCAGATTTATTTCTTAGTAGATTTGGGGTCCAGAGACAGATCAAGGGAGGAGGATTGAATTCAGACAGATTTATCAGGCTTTTTGAGAATCTAGAAACCCATACCTCATCTATTTTTGCCTGCGGCTCAGTGTACTTGGTGAGCTTCAAGCCAAAAGTATTAATAAGATATTGTCACTGACACCACTATATAATGAAGAAGGAAACTAAGCAGTTCAAGTACTGCTACTGAATCCTTTCCCTGTTGTGTGTATGATGTTTGGGCTCTTTCCAAAACTGGGGATTAACTGAACACGTCACTGATAATAAATGTTGGGGTGATCATCTTTTGTTATACACATGAATTAGTCTCCTGTTCCTTCTCCTTTACTTACGTGATTTGATATGAAATAAAAACCCTGTGTTAAGAGTCTTTTTCATTAATTTTGGTCCGTAATTCCCAGTTCCAAAGGCAGCAACACATCTCTCCATTTTGGTAGCTTAAAAAACAGCAAGAACCAAGTATAAACCTGTCCCAGCTTTTCTTACGTTTGGACCCAGCCTATGTACTCCATCAGATCCTGTGGACATGGATCAATGGAACAGTGATCATGTGAAAAATGAAAAAAGTCTGTATTCTTGCTAGCAAAAAATTGAAGGCAGCCTCTGACACAATGAGAAGTGGTGCAGCTGTGCAGGGAAACCCTTGTCTGAGGGAAGTTGGTACTGTGCCACAAGCCTAGTCCATAAAATCATGTATCTGAAAGGAGTAGAATTAGAGCAACATAACACAACATCAAGGCTAGCTGGAAAAGGTTTATTTGGGTGACACTCAGAGGAAAGAAGAGAAGGATGTTATTATGTTTTAAATATTGCTAATAATTCAGATCAATTTGTCCAGTCATATGCGACCTATTTATTTGTTGTTCTAGTGTGTCAGACTTAAGGCATCTGGAGAATAAATGCCCAAGAAATGCCAACTAACAGTCAGAAAATGTTTACTCGGTTGGAACTGCCTTCCAAATAAGCCAAGCAGCATCTGAGTTACCACAGAAATTATTATCCAGAATAGCAAAAAGGGAGAGACCAGGCACTTGCTAGGAGCAAACCTCAAAGTGTCCCTTAAACTAACACTGACTGACAAGGCAGGTAGGATGAACTGAGTTAGCTGGCCAGTCCTGGTTTTGGTCTTCTGTCTGCAGGACGTGCTGGAGAACCACCTTCCCCTCTGCAAGGTGCATGCAGAGCTACCACACTGTGTACGGAAGTGGCAGTTCAAGATAATTGCTTGATAAAATAATAAATAATTGCTTGATAAAATAATTGAAAAAAATAATATGCAATTGGCTTTGCATAGCAAAACCACACACTGTTAAACACGATGCAGTTACGGGAATGGTACCCTCTGAGTGGGGAGTGAAAATGAACATATTGGGGTGTGCCATGCTTGAATGGTTCCAGAGGGCTGAGTAGGGAATTCAGTTTGGCTTTTTAATTGCTCAAGACTCATTCGCAACCCACTCTGCCCCATTTCAGGCCTAATAAGTTTTCCATCCGGAGCAGTGCTCCTAGCGACTACTCGAGTTTGAGCGACTCTCAGCTGCTCTTTGGCTCCCAGTTCTGCCCAGAGAACGTGCAGTCGGCAGCAGCGCCACTGGAGCTGGGCACGCCGCTGGGACAACACAACTCCCAGGATGTGAGTCTCACCCTCGTTCAGCCCTGCGCAGGCACACAGACACTGTTCAAAGTTAATGGAAAATGCTGAAATCAGGTGGTAATATTTGCAAATGGTAATAACTGCTGAAATCAAGTTATCTTCCTGATACACGTATGTATTTACTGTGACTAGACAAAGTAGCAGCCTGGCTGGCTGAAAACAGTGTTTATAACAGATTGTTATAAATTATTATTGAGATAGGTATTATTTTCTTTAATCACATTTTTTTAATTACTAAAATAATATTAGATTATTCTCAATATAATGTCTTTAGACTGCCTAGTTAAGGTAGAATATAACATTTATTCCTCTTTGAAAAATACTGTGTTTCTCTTCATTACCCTTCTGCAAGAATGACAGAGGTATTCAGTGTTTACTTCCATTGACTGAAAATTACCTTGCTGTATTGTTGTTATGCCAGATGCTTGAATGATTTTGGATGAAGAGCTTCTACACTCAGAATCTTTCTCCTACAGCATGTGGTTTCTGATGTTACCAGACTCACTAATAAGTAACGCTAACAGAGAACACCAGATCCAAATAAAGACACCTGAGAGCAAAGATTAGGAAAGAACAGTGGTGCCAGCTCGGTGGACCTAGGCTGTTCCAGATCCTATCTGCTGTCCTCTGCATTTTGCCAAGGATCTTGCCCATTAATGGCAGCAGCTTTTCATCAGACACAAAAAAAGGAAATCCACTCTTCATAATGAAAGAAGAAAATTTAATGGAATTTGCATTTTCTTATATTTTAAGGAAAAGGCATTCCCATTTTGTTCACACAGTGTCTGGAAAGTTTGTAGAATGAAGAAGGCCTTTACAGCTTTCATATTAATACTAGATTTCTTGTTCTGAAATGTATATTGAAGCATGTGAAAAACTCATCTACAGTCTGGTGATGTTAGTTGGCAGCAAAATTATGTCATCCACCAGGAAATTCAATAGGATTTTCTTTAGATTCCTGTACAGGGAGCTCCCACTGACATCTTTAACTCTTCTGCAATTCCACAAACACTGGAATTCATTTATGGTTTCTGTGTTGAGCATACAGGAAAAAATTCTGCATATCTGATGATCACAACCAACTGAAAATCCTTAAAATGATAGAAAAGCCTGAGTCTGGAGGAATTCGGGCTAGGTCCCAGTTCCCTAGGGAGTCAATCTAAGTCGATCTCATTAAGTGAGCCATAATCTCATGAAATTCTTAATCTCCTCGTCCAATCTAATCCATCACGTCTGATCACTGTGATCTCTGTCTGCAAAACACTTGGTACACAGATGTTTTTTTCTAATTAATGTTCTGATTATTTTCATACTTCAGCATTTTTCTTTCTTTTGTGCACTAGAGCGAGCCCAGTATTTTTACCAAATACCAGACAAAACCACAGTTATTTGATGAAGATACAAAAGAAAAAGGTTCACTTAATTTTGGCGCAGGAAGAGTAAAAAGTGTCTTGGAAAACTATGAAGTGAATAAGAACAAAATAAAGGACAAATATGATCGGTATGTAGACATCCATTGGAAATTCTTTCTGTGCTGGTGGTTATCACTCCCTGCAGCTCCTCTTCTCCTCTTAAAAGTCGTACATGACATAGCTGCATATTTCTCCAAGAAAAGTATCTTTACAGGTTTTAAATAATCTCTGATTGGAAAGAGTCACAGGATAAGAGAATACAGTTTACTTGCAATGTAATTTATGTAACACACTCAGCCATAAGCCACAAGAAATAACAAAACTGTAACCTGAATTTACCTTTGTCCTTCTTTATCTAACCAGCAGGGTTTTTTCCTATATTGATTCTCTGCAAAAGCCCAAAATTGTCAAAATTTTATAGACTGTGTTGGGACTAATCAAAAGGACTCTGAGAACGGCCTTCACATTTAGGTCAGATGAGGATATTGCCAAGCATACTTGTGTGCTGTGAAAGATGCAATGATTACACCTTTCTAAATCTGCATCTATCTCTAGCATTTTACTTGTGGTTTTGGTAACAGACAAGCTAAATTTGCTCATGCAATTTGCATCTGCTCTTTGTCAGCTGTTAAGAATTAAATGTACATGTAGGTCCTAAAGGACTTTTAGGAACAAGCTGACCATTTGAAGCTCAAAAATGAAAGACGGCAAACTCCCCAGTGCAGCTATAATTAATTCTTAGCATTGTACATTTTGTAAGGTAACATCCATCCAAAGTGAAATGCATTTTTATTAAAAGCCTTTGATCAAATGAGGCTATGTGTCTCTCTTTTGCAATGGGCACTACGCTTCTGATAAGGCAAAATTTGATTCTCTAGTGCCTGTTAGAGAAGAGGAGGATTTTTGTAAGTGAATTATGAGAAATGAACAAATAGTTTTAAGTGTTTAGGGAGAACACTTAATTATCTTTTATTTCTTCTTTAAATGAATTATGCTCCTTCCTACACTCCAGACTCACTCCCAGATTAGAAGACTGTTTATAGAAATAGCTATATTATCTTTATAAAGATAAATGTATAATTTATCAATTTGTATCCTCCACAAGTTTGACTAATAAAATTAATAACTTCCTTTCCATAAGGCTAGAAAGATTTCAGAAGCCCTGCCTAATTCTCATAACTGGACTCTACCTGGCCTTCACCTTTTTGGTTGTTGCAGTTTAGATCAGCAAATGATTGATTTAAAATGACCCAAATCTTCAGAGAGGAAATAAGTTATCACTTTGCTTAGCAACCTTCCTTGCATTTTGGTTTGATAGGTTAATCATGAATGTAGCCTGGTTCCTGATAGGCTCACTCCACTTAAAAGGATGGATAACAGAAACCACAGGCATAATCTCAGGAGAAAAGGATTTGCAGTATTTATTCTTACTGGCTTTGTTGACGCTGAAACTTTTTCCCACAGTTATTTTAGTCCAAATACAATACCCGTGTATCCCAGCAACTGGCACGTCACCTCCGCCAAGGCCAGGTCCTTCCGGAGCAGATAGTGTGGTGGTAACACCCCAGCAGCTAATGGACAGTTGTGTAAATGCCAGCTAAAACTTTTGAGAGAGGCACAAGTGCTAAACCAAAAATGGGACAGTTAAAAAAAAAAAAAAAAAGTCATGTGTATGATATATATATGTGCATGTGTATATCTGTATTTTTTTTCTTACTCTAGATTACAGAATCCATGCTTTTCGAAAACAAGTAAGGTGACTTCAAAAGGTTATGTTCCCTGAAGTAAGCATGTTTCTGTGCTTACATTATCCACTCTGCTATGCCTTGCAGTGTTTCATGTCTCATGTTTACTGTGATCTTTTCAACATCTGTCTACCTCAGTAACTTACATGTCTGGTTTATACTTGTTGTTTTTTTCATTTTAGTGAGGTTTTAAGCACCTTTATTTCCAGTATCAAAGTCAGGCTTCAAGGGGTAAGTTAATTCAAATTCAGAGTGCAGAATAATGAAAGGTTAGAAATGCTACAGAACTTTCGCCTTCTATCATTTACTGTGCTGATGTTTGAATTATTACACTGCTTGTTGAGCACTCAAATACTTTAAACCAACAACTGCAAATTTTTTTGCGTATACCATTGTCTTTGTAGCCTGTCCTTAAGGTCTTTAGGGCCTTGCCTCAGTGTCAGCAGTGGAAATTCTCTGGGTCTTGGGAGCAAAACCAGGCAGTAGTGGCTGTCTGCAAATATAAATTCTTTCTTCCTTCTGTCTGAAGAAAGTAGTCTACTCTCGGGAATAAGCCAATGTGGTCTTACTGTCTGAAGGTGAAGGCCTCTCCCCCCATACTTTTATAATTAATATTATTAATGTTATTATTAATGGTATTTTACAGACCAGTATCTCTATTTTGAAATCTGTTAAGATGTCTGCAATATTTCTTGAGCCTTTTGAGCCATTCTAGATCTCCTTTGGGGTTGCAACCAACAGCTGGACAAATTGTTTCAAGTGACAGAGAAATAACCATTTCCAGGCTGTTCCATTCAATGAGTTGCAGTCGTTGGTCTATGGCAGCTGGGCCTGTGTTTTTGCAAACAAAGAAAGGGTAATGTATTAATTTTCTCATTTACCTTTGTCTTTGGCAGTTGCAAGCATGCTTAGACAACTTTGGAGAAATGTTAAATTCAAGAAACAAATCCATTTTGGTTCATCTAGAAACCATTTCCAAGACATGTAAGTCCTTTCTGTATTTCTGTTAACAGCAGAGGGCACAGTCAAACTGCTGAATGTCAGCATGTTGTCTCCAAGCTGGGGTGAACTAGGCAAGTCATGTCACTCAACAGCTGCTCTTCGTAAGGGAGAAGAGCAAATAAGAGTTATCTGTGGTATGGACTTGTCTATTTTCCATTCCTACTGTTATAGTCTCATTTGCTCTATTGTACTGTGTCAAAGAACTTAGGTGTTGCGTGGTTAGACACCATGCACACATAGATAAATGCACCTCCTATGTTTTTGTGTTCTGCCTGAAGTATGATCATTTTTAGACTATCTGGAGCACTAATGGAACACACAGTAAAAATAACTCAGGTATTTATATCCTGAGCATCCAGTTTCTGTTTTTAGGGCTTTCTCATATTTTCACATGTTAGTTTGAAGTCTTCCATCACTCCTCTGTGCTTGAAGTGATTATATCTTAGATAAGAGCAAGACTAGTACTGCTCATTTCTTAAGTAGGAAGCACATAGCGAAGCACACTATTGCCATGGTAAAAAGCTGAACTCCCCAAAAAGCAAAAAATTTTAAATACTTTTGAACAGCTCATAGCAGTCTTTACTGAGGGAAAGTGCTTCAGAGAAATTGTTTCTAATTTGACTTCGATCTGAGCCTTTGAGAGTGCATTAATTTTTAATGCTGACATGTTTTTTTATCAACACCCTGTCAGGACTCTGCTCAGTGCTTGCCCTCCTCTGTGCAAGAAGAGGCCTGTTTCAATACATGCAAGAACCATGAAGTGAGCTATACCTTGTGAGATCAAAGTAGCAAACCTTCACAAAAGCATTATAATACCCACTGTGCAGTAAAATGTGGCTTCCACGAAGGCCAGCTTTGACAGACACCCTTTAAGTCAACACAGCCCTCTCAGGCAAAAAGAGTGGAGTCTGGTGCATTCTGCTCAAGGCCATGGTAGCCAGTACGTTCGAAATACCAATCCTGTTATACTAAGAACACTCCCTTGCTGTGCTTGGCAAGTGCTCTTGGTGGGACCTTAATGTAAGCAAGAATCTGTCTGCTTTGGCCAGCATAACAAGCTCCCTGTTACGCATTTGCCCATCTCCTAACTATTTCAGTGCCTCAACTTGTCCACTGTGCAGTAGGACTTTGCCTAATTTTGTATACCTCGCACACAGAAATTGTTGTCATGGCACTGAAAATCAAATCTATTGTTCAGAATTCCCCCTCTTCATTTCATACCATTTGCTCAGCTGTCCTGTTTCGTCTCCATACCCTTTTTAAATAAATGTGCCTTGAATGAAATGAGAAACCTCCCAGCGGTGCCTGCTGCGAGATTTTCAAAGCAATTGAAAAGAAAAATTGGCACTTTCTGTAATGTATCATGCTGCAGAATGTTGAATATATAATGAAAATTATCACACGCTCCACAATGTTGTTCTTTTTATATTTCTGGGAGGTTCATCTGTCAGTGGTTAATTGCTGATAAACACTGCCATTTGACTGGTATCACAGTGATGGATAATTAAGTTCCCACTAAATAAATACCTGCACTAGTGCATGGAAAAGATCCCAACTGAGGCAGCTGAAAAACTGGTACAAAATAAAGAGCTAAATTCAGAGCTGATAAAGCACTGAATGCCAGTGGCTGATGATACAGTACCTTGGGATGTGGGTGACATGGTAAATCACTGACAGTAGAGGATTTCACATGCAGGAGAGGAATGCAGAAGATGAAGAGGCTCTCTTCAAGGGGAGAAGTAGTACCCCAGGACATTCAAACAGCTCTGAAACACAAAGAAAGGTGGAACTTGAAATAAAGTCTGTCTTCATTAAAAGCTTATAAGGAGTATCACAAGCTTCATTTATAGCAGTGGGCAGCAGGCACATTTGGCACATTCTACACAGCCACTGATCAAGAACAAAACAGAAAATGTTTTTCAAAATATATTTCCAAAGCATTTCCAAATGCTCTTGGGCTGGCATGCTCTATGCAATAAGATAAAAAAAAAAAATGTTCTCTTTTGAGTGTTTGTCAATATGTGCTTGCACACATTGGATAGAACTGTGTCTGGCACTGGAGATGAGACATTTGTCTGAGCAGTTTCCACAGAAGGACAGCTGCTCTATTCCTTGCTCACACCTCAGTGTGCTGTGCGCAGGGGTGTAGAGGCAAGCAGACCCTGCATCCTCAGTTCTTCCACCTTATGTAGTGTTTCTCTGGTTGACTTGCCTGCTCATCATTTGCTCTTTCCTTCTGGTTTCAGCTCCTGCAACTCATTTCTTCGTCTATTTTTCTCATTTTCCTTTATATACCCACACTCTATCAAAATTTTCTATTTTTTAAATAGAAATCCTGATTTTCACAACTCATCCCTCTCTGAACTGCTTCGCTTTTCTGGTATCTGGTCGTTCCAGCTGTGACAGCTCGTAACAGCCATATCCTCCGCACCACCTTGACTCCATTGCAAATGAGAAGCATATTCCCAGCCAGCATACCACAGGCAATCCTCTGATGCTCCTGCCAGCAAGGGTGATAAAATGATGTGCAATATGTCCCTTACAGAGGTACGAGATGATGCAATTCTCTGACAAAATCTGGTGTCTGGTGGGCAGTTTTCAAACATGACTTGCGTCAAGGCTCCCCAGGCCCAGTAGTTGCTGGCAAGGTTTCTAGGAGAATTTGCTGTGTTTATAACGGTGGGATTTGAGCTCATTTGTTGTGAATAGCACGGTCCGGACTGGGACACCCAGTCCAGACTCCCTTATATTCTATATGGATTGAAAAGTCAAAAGGTTTGACTTTTGGCATGGATGGTGAGAGGATGTGTGGTAATCTTGGCAAATACTGAAGCCCCTCATTGTCACATTTCAGGGCTTGGGGCACTCTCTGCTGTAGAGCAGGCTGAGATCAGGAGCAGCTCATCCCACAGTCTCCCAGCGCAGGTGTCTTCTGCCGTGCTGCGGAAGGGGACCCAGGCTAAGCAGACAGAAACCTGACGGCAGACTACTCGGGGTATGTCTGAGTGGGGTGCAGGCATGACAGCCCAAATGTCTCACCTGCTGGGACAGCTCAGTTACTGCCCAGGGAGAAAACGCAGCGCTCTGCTGAGCTCCATGGCTGGCGTCCCTCCTCATGGCTCACCAGGTCTATACCTCCTCCCATTTCCCCTGCTGAACCCAGGCGCGGGGGAACCAACCTCCCTCCAAAGTGTTATTTAAAGCCTCCACGCTGCCAGTGCCAATCTCAGGACAAGTTGCATAGGGGATGACAGATAGGCATCAGAATCAGTTGCTGTTTAATATTCCTAGGCTGGGAGGCTGACGCTCCCTCCCTGGGCTGCTCAGACTATAGTTTTCAGCTGTTGGGAGTGCAGCTGCACCCGAGTGCAGGCTGATTTGCGGGGAACTCTCTGCGGTACAGGATGGCAGACCTACCCTGAGGTCCTACAGACTTTTATCTCATGCCAGATTTCACATTCCATATGTTATTAATGTGAACCAGTAGCATCCAAAGACAATAGTACAGCAAATCAAAACACAGCAATGTCCCAGGTTGTAAGAACTGCTTTGTTTAGAATAAAATACCTTAAGTGAGGCACAAGTCTGTGCATAAGCCATTCATTAACCATGTAAAGATTTTGCCTCTATGATCAAGTTATTCAATAACTATCTGCTGCAGGGTTTATTTGAAGAAAACTTTCTCTGAAGCAGCTGTTCTTGATCATTTTCAAAGACAAGATACTTGACTAACAAGGTCCTTGATCTGATCTAGTTTGGCCATCTTAATACCTATTTTTTTAAGTCTAGAATAACGCTCATTTTTATTTTGTTTAATAGTGTTTGACAAGTCTGAACACTCTTCTGGTATGGAATCCAGAGAGGGAAGGAGAGGGTTCCTCCTCTGTACTAAGGGGTTTTTTTCTGCAGAATACTCCTACACGTACAAACGAAACGCGTTCAAAAGACTGGCTGTTGGTTGCTTGCCTGCAGCACGCTGTGCTGAGTCAAACGTATGTGCAGATCACAAGCCCAGTGGATGTAGTGCTATTTTTAGACTGAGGATACCATGCTGTAGAAGAACAGACAGACTAGGCAAATCAAAAAGTTTTAAAAATAATTGTGAACTAAAATTAAACATATGGGGAAGAGCAGCAAGCTGAGGTAAGCTTGCTGGTGCTGGCCTTTCTATATCCACACTACATAGAGATGGAAGATGATGAAGTGACATGAAAGGAGTTTCCTCCTTCAGTCATTGCTGCTTTCCTCCTCTTTATAGGCTTGCAGGCTGGGAGGGGACTGGCAGGCTCCCCAAAAACCTGCTCTCGGTTTGCAAGTAGCCCTTGGGTCTAACCAAGGAGATGCAAAGTCTAGAAGGCCCACTCAAACATTCACTCCACCGTTACAAACCCATTCTGCAAATCACAGCTTTCCCCTCGTGATTTATAAAAAAAGGCTAAATATGTCAGAGCAAAAGACTAAAAGCTTAAAAACAGCAGTGAGAGAGCAGGGACAACCAAATTGCCTGCAACATCAGAGAGCTTATTAGTTGAAATATGTGCAGATAATCTTCAGAAATCAGCCACACTCCTACAGAGAACAAGGCAAAGCAGTGTGGTGATGGGCACCCCGAAAAAATGGAGAAATTTTCCCCGAGCCAAGGTCTGGGAGGTGATTTAACTCGATGCATGTGAGGAAGATGCGTGGATGAGGCAACTGCAGGGTTCCTTGTCCCAAATGACAGCAGAGTGCACTGTGCCCAAGCCTTCAGAGGACAGCAAATGAAGTTAAAAATACAGCCTGGCACAGGGGTTCCCCACTGTGAGGAAGCAGCTCTCAGCAATCACCCCATCCCTCGAGCCGCAGCCTTGCTACGCTGGAGCAGCACTTCCAGCCCTGTGCCACCAGGCACCTCTGGTTTGCGTAGCTGAATAAGCCAAATGCTTTCAATCTCCTTTCATAAGAGGATATTATCATCTAAGCACTTAATTATCTTGTAGCTTTTCTCTGCACGTGTGTCCCAGTTCAATCTCTTTTTTTTTTTTTTTTTTTTTTCCCTTGTACATAGGCAGCTGGGACTGCGCGCGGGCTTCCAGCCACCCCAGGGTGCAGAGCAGTTCCCATCAGCCAGAGCCCGCGCACCACTGCACGCCACACTGCCCTATCTCACTTTCAGCCTCTGGTGCTGTCATTTGCATCTTTATGTCATCTGCTAATTACCTAAATGCCCACTGGTTTTTGCACCCAGGTGACTATGCCAGATTTTAAGTACCTTTGGCTCATGGGCAGACCTTGAGGAGCATCTTCCAGAGCCGCCTTGTCCCCTCATGCCACACCTCTCAAGTGCTGGCGTTTTCCCTTTAATTGAGGCTTATCCACCTAATTTTTCTCAGCTTTTCATACTACATGACAACTTCCACTGAAGAGCTTTGTTGAATCTGCAGAAAGGCCACTGCCTTGCTTTTGTTCTAAGTAGTCACCTACCTTATCCTAAGCGTATTACATTAGTCAGGCACAATCTGCCTTTTATAAAATCTTGTTCCATGTTATTCCAATTCCCTCCGTATCTTTGAGTGGTCTTTCCCTTAAAGTCTATTCTAAAACCTTGCACAATATGACAACGAACTAGTAAGCTCATAATTGGTCAAATCTCTTCCCTTTCTTCCTTCCCAAATGTACCTTTTTAAAATGTCCCTGGTTTTTACAGAAACAAAGCCTGTACGATCATTTTCTGCCTGCCTCTCCCTGATAGTTTTTAACTCTTTGACCAATTCTATCTAGAGTTTGACAGAAGGGCACAGATCACTCAGATAATTAGGTCCCTGCAAGCTTAATGAAAATAACTGGGCAGGAGGAGGAGAAATACAGAGTGCCCTGTGGCTCTGCAGCCTGTGAGAACCTCTCTGGGATGAGGTGCTGCACTGAAGAACTGAGATAAATACTCCACGTGCAGGAATAGCTTCAGCTGGGCTCTCAGCTCCACCAACACCAAAGTCAATCAAACACATTGGATCTGTAGCAAAAGGGGATTAATTAATTGCAGAGCTCTTGTAGCCACTTGTTGAAATGTAGGCCTCATTCTGATTTTTGTCAGCTGTGCCGTGCTAATCTGGGACTCCAGAGTTTCAGTTATCCCGGCCCATTGGCTTGGCAGTGCTTTGTTTTTGCAGGAGTGCTTTGCATCCTGTTTTGTTTTGCCCAGCCAAAGTTCCACCCCAGCCACACCATGTGCACACACACCTTCCTGCACTGCTCACAAGAAAGATCAGATGTGTTTAGTGAACTGCTCTTTCTCTCCATCCTAATTTACAATTTTAAAGGAAGACTTCCGTAAGATTGCTAAGTATTTTTCATCTCCACATACGCTGCAAACTGTGTTCCCATGCTGTAGTGTATTAGGCAGAACAGTGGCTCCTATAAGAATAATTGCAGCTGCGTTGGAGGAGCTATATTACTGTCCAATCATATAACACAAATCCCTATTTTTTAATCAGTTTTACAAGACTGACTGAAGCCAAGAGCATCTTGCTCCAATTTAAAACCCTCCCAGGGGATCCATGCCCCATGGGATGCTGCCGGGGCCCCCACTACCTCTGGCATTCCAGCTGCAGCTGCCTAAGTGCTGGGCGTAGCTGCCTGGTTCAGATATTTTCTGGCCCCATCTCTTCCTGCGCCCAGCAACTGGAAATCCCAATTCTTTGCACACTCCTTCATAATTTCCCATTATCTATCCCTTCAGGCAGCTTTCCTTCTGCTACCAGCCTCCTGTGCATTTCTGACGTGTATTCTCTGGTTTCACTTCTTAGCCATTAACCTCTTGCATCTCCATCCTGTTCTCAGCAATACTGTTCTTCCCATCGCGTGTTCAAGCTCCCATTTACCATCAGCTGGTTACAGAGGAGGGTTGGCTATGTGGGGGTGGATCAGCTATATTGGGGTCCCCCTCCCCTGGCCATGCCTGTTGTGCAGTTGGCAGACAACTAAGCCTCAGCTTTCCTTGCGCTGAGCCAACCAAGTTCTGCCGCTTCGCTTAGCCTTCCATCTCCAGCTGCCATATTAATAGAGCACAGTAAATGAGGTTTGGCCTATATGCAGCATCTTATAAATTTCAAGTGCTTTGCATTAAACATCTCCTCTATTGTTCATTGCTTTGGGCTCAGGGAGATCTCAGTGGGCGAATCACTATGGTTGCACAGCACCATGAAGTATTTCATGCCAAGCGGTGGAGGAAGTCACAATAGTATTGATAGTACTTTATTCACATTTACAAATGAAAGACCAAATGTGTTTTTTATTGATTTCCCTATTTAGTGCAAGATGCTCTTCAAAGTCACTGTGGCTCGGTGTTGAAAGCTCTGACAGACAAAAGCCAAATGGAGCAGACACTGCTGGAGATGGAGAGGAGACTTGCAGCCGTAAGTGCAGAAATTAATCTTTTATTCTGAACCCTCATTCTGAAATTCTCCTGCTTCTTCAAAATATTAACTGAATATTAAATTGCCTTCGAATAGTGGATTATAAAGTAGACTGCTTCTCTTATAATGAAGGAGGAAAGACACATTAAAATGCTAATTCTAGGCCAGGTACTGACTGATGCTTACCCAAGCGCTGGCTAACAGTGCTGTAAACTCTGATGAAACCTGGGTCAGTAAAAGGGGAGCCCAACAGTGCCCTGTCGTGGCAGGCCACAACAGAGCCCTGCTTCCTCTCGCTGGCACGTGCCTTTGCTGGAGGAGGAGGTGCAGTGTGTGCCTGGGAGGGGAGAGCATCTCGCAGAAGTGCAGAGCCTTGTCCCTTCAGCTGGATGTTTTCCTCAGGAGAGGAAAAAAGAGGTGAAAAAGGAACAAATGGGTGTCAGAGAGAAAAGAATGATCTGTCAGACACCTCCTGGATAGGTCAGGGTTCTCCAAAAGCCCTGCTGCAGGAATTGCTTTTGTCAAGGACGTGTCACGCCAGCATGTGAGAAGGCAGTGCTCCTGGGAGAGGGGGCACACAATGGGCTAGGGGTACGCCCTAATCCCAAACCTCTCACTTCTGTGGGACAGTTTGAGAATACATAATAGGGATACACAAATTGCTGATCTTTGGGTTGATACCCAACTTAAGGGGTCTAACTGACACATAGGACCTAAAAGTTTCTTGTTTGAATACTATTATTGTACCTTTTAATGTGTTGCTTCCTGCCTCTGCTCTGCTTGCTGCTTCCCCAGAAAGATGTGGAGATTTTGGATGTGAAATCCAGTGTCCAGGTGCTGAAGGAGGGCCTGGAGTCGCTGCCAGCTCAGCTGAACGATCAGCACCTGAAGCTGTGTGAAGAACTAGGCTTCCTGAAGCTCCCTAACGCCTTAGCTGAGCTGCACACGCTCATTTCTAGTGCCCGACTGCCCCCTCGCATGGCAGATAACTCTTCCCAGACCTCCCCTGGCCCATGCCAGGGCTGCGTTCTGGGTGAGGAGACCACGCGCTGGCCGTGCTGCCGAGGCTGGGGGGTCTGCAGCTCCTCAGGTCGGTCTCAGCCCCCCTGCATGACAGTGGGGGGGCAGCACGGAGACTCCCCTGGGAGGATCCGGGTCACTGGGGATGGCACATCTAAGGGTGACCTAAACACAGCTTCAGGAGGGAAAGTCAGCCCCATTGCTACAGCGGCGTGTGTCAGAGTAAACACCTCTTTGCAGGAGGTGACAGGCGGTTTGGAAACACAGAGCTGTGCTAACCATCTTTGCATGTGCTGCACTAACAGTCACTTTTGGGGGGCTAGTCAGAAGAAACACTGTTCTTCACCACAGGAGGTGCCTCTATCAACTCCCCTGAGGAAGGCGGTCAGGAGGAGCGCTCAAGGATTTGAACCCATGACAGTGTCACAGCAAAGGCAGCCTCAAGTTTGCTGCCTTTCTGCACAAAAAGATATGCATGGGCAAAAAGACAGTAACGGGGTGGCAGACCGTGAGCTGGAGAATGCAGCTGTAGGGTACAAAGCAAAACAGAGGCCAGAAAGGATCCCCTGGAATAAAGCAATGGGGAGGAAGAAAACATGCCCTACCGCAAAAAAAGGTGAGCTCTCTCGATGTGCTGACAGTGGGAAGAAGCAAAGGAAGGCAAACAGGATTATTGAGTTGGAAAGCTCCAGAAAAAATTGCTTTCCCAGACACATGGTTGCTCCCAATTTAGGAAGCTCTAACCCAGTTATTGCAGCTCCCAAACAGCAAATCCTCAGCAGCTCTCAGCCGAGGCTTACAAAGAATTCCCCACCAGTGCCATGCTCCAATAAAAGCCTGAAACAATGTCCAGACAAAAGAAAGAGAAGTTTGGAAATTAAAAAAAGAGCTAATGTTTCCAGTGTAAAAAGGATTATTGGGGATTCCTCTCCCCAAGAGAATATATTTTCCCTGTGCAGCGCAACAGGTGAAAAACAGATGAGCTGCTTCAGTCTCAGAAGCCCTGCAGCCTCCAAGAAACTACGTCCTGCCAATACACTGGCTCAGCAGAATACAGCCTGTTGCTCTTTAGTTTTTGATAGTGATTATTCCGATTGAAGGGGTTTGTTTCATGTTCAGAGTTGTCATCAGCAGACTTGACCATCTCAGTTGCAGTTTATTCCTCTACGTGTATTACCTGTCTAGTCAGAGACCAGGCTCATGCCTCAGTGCTTGAAAATGCTATTGTCCGCTTTGATGTATTGTAAGGGACTACATGGGATCTGAGGAGAAGCCCTCCCACGGCTTGGAAAGCTGATGGGATCTGTATTACTTTATCCTGCTGCTCCCAAAGATGCCATGGACTCCAATTACCATCATATTTATGCAGCAGAGAAGTACCTGCAGAGTCTGCTGAGATGTTCTCCAGGGAGGAGAGGGCTGGCAGAGCACAGACGGGCAGCTCGATCAGATTTAGCACTGAGATCTACGTGAAACTTTTCAACTAGGTAGATGTAATAGTATCTCTGTGGCCAGAGGCTTTACTCTGTATCTCACTCATAGTCTCTATGTTGGTTTGTATGTCTAAAAGTTCAGCTTTTTCGCTCCCTAGGCAGTAGTAGTGTTGTTCTGGTTGATTTTGGTAAGGTTCAGATTTGTCCCAGGAGTTGTTTGTGAGTTTTGGACAGGGTCAGGTTTAGCTGAGGAAAACCAAATCCCAACATCTCAGGTTCATCAGCTATTGCATTTCTTCTCCTTTTAGGCTGAAGTTTCTTGGTTTCAGAAAATTCAGGAAACTATTTAGTTTCTACTTTATTTGTCTCTCATATCTCTTGGCTAACTAAGGAATTATCCAATGTACACTTCTCAAGGGCAGTGGTTCTCAGAAGCCAAAAGATACGATGTTCAAACTGAGCACTGATAGATAGTTCTCATCCTTTAGACACCTACACCTCTCTAGTGAGGAGTCACTCAAAAATTTTCAAGTCAGAAAGGACCAGCCTACCCACATAATCTGGCGTACAGAGCAGTGGAATTGTTGTGCAGTCCCAATTTCTGCAGAGCAACTCTCCAGGGTACCCAGCTGTGACTACCAGCAGCTTCCACTGCTTCAGATACTTGTAACATGTTTGATTTTTTGATCTGAGATGTTACCGGCAAAAGAAACATTTTGGTGTTGATAAAACAGGTCTGTTGCCACAAATCCAAGCAGTCCAGCTTTGTTGTCCCAAGGGGGAAGACTGGGATCCCTTTTTCCTAGCTTTAATAAACTTATTGTGTCTTCACCAAAATCCAGTGCCTTTGTACTGTTTTCTCAGGAGGGGCAAGATCCTGTTTCAGCGAGTGAGCAGGCGGCTGCTCTTCAGCTGTGGTACAGGGAGGATTTGTTTTTTTTCAGTTCCTCTCTGATGTTTAAAGAATGAAACCTCCGCCCTTACAGTTCAACGTCGGTTCAGTGGCAGAAATTGTCAAGGAGAAGGTGGCGGGGGCAGGCGTGGGGAGCCCCCAGAGCCTTGGGACCCCCCCCCCGGGGTCAGCAGAGGGGCCGGGTGACGGCTGCCGGCAGCAGCGGCCGAGATCGTGTCGCACTGTCTGCCTGTACCCGTCCCCCCCAGCAGCCCCAGCACCCCCAGCATGGCCTTTGCTGGGCAAAACCTACTCCCTGGGGCTCACCACCCGCTGCGTTTCGGGACGGGCACAGGCCCTGGCCTGGACGCTCACCCCGGCTGCGCGGCAGCGAGCTCGGCAGCGCATGGCTGAGCTTGGAGGGACCTCTGGAGGTGTCTGCCGCGAGGCCCTGTGCCGAGCTGAGCAGGCCCCCGCTCCCCGGCACGCCGAGGATGGAGCGCCCGTGCTGTGGGGTACAATGCCCTGGGGATCCCCTGCGGCCCCCCCACCGCACGCACACAAGGGCAGGCAGCAGGGCCCGCAACTAAATCCCTGGGGAAAGGTGGCGCAGCGGCAACAGCAGCCAGCGGCACTTTCCCCCCACGCCAGCCACTGCCAGGGGAGTGGGGGAATGCCTCGGGGTGCCACCCTGGCACCCGTGGGCCAGCCCCGTACCCGTTCCCACTCAGGGTCTCCTCCAGGGTTTTCGCTGACAGCAAGAATATTTCTCCCAATATGGCCATGACAACTGGTGAATACTTTCCCAGCCTCCCCAGACAAAAATGGAAGCGTGTGCGCTGCCGGCAGCTGCCTTCCCGTGGGCACCGCTCCGGCACCCCACCGGAGTGGGTCCCGTCTCCCTGCCTGTCCTCCCAGCACACCCAGCCGCCGGGCTCGCCGTCCCTGGCTCCCCGCTGGAGACAGCCACACTGCCAGGCACGCGGGAGCCTGGACTCCAGGCTGTTTGTGGGCACTTAATGGGGGCAGTTTTCTCCTAAACTGGGGTTTTTGTCCTGCTTCCTCGTGGGAGAGCCCAGAAGGGGCAGAACAGTTGCCAAAAGCCCGGGCGGCCGCAGGCGCAGAGGTGTGAGAGCGCAGGTCGCATCCCCGGCTGCTCAGGCAGGCAGGCAGCCGCTGCGGCGGCACGGAGCGGGGCGCTCAGCTTTTCCTCTGCCGGTGAGTCACTCGGCAGAGGAGGAAAACCACTGATGGCACCGGGGACGTGGAGGTGGCTGCTGCACCCGTGCCTCGTGCTCCGGGCACCCCGACAACTGCGGTGTGTGGGGCACAGCCGGCTCCGGCCCCACGACATGCTCATACACCACGGCCGCCCCGTCCCCAGGGCCAGACCAGCTCGTTGCGGTGGTGCCCGGTGCTGGCAGTGCCCGGTGCAGTGCAGGCTCACCAGCCACCTCCCAGGGGCTCTGCCACTGCCCGGCTCTACCCCCATGCGGCCTCCCTGTCGTTAATCCCCAGATTAGCTGCCTGCCCTGCCTGCTTTGTGGGGCCCGGCATGCCGGCATTGCCCAAATTCCCTGGCCCCTGTGTTCAGCTGACTGCCGCAGCCTCCCCCCAGCCCCGCTGCCTGCACCCAGCCCAGGCCCAGAAATGCCCCAAGTGCCCGCAGTGAGCCCAGCCTGGGTGTGATGCCAAGGGGATGGAGGGGTGGCAGGGAGCAGGAGTGGGGCACAGCGTGCTGCTGCCTCACGGCGTGGCACTGCCACGAGGACCTGGGGTGCCACTTGTCCCCATTGGCCTGGGCGACAGGAGAGTGATGGTGGTGACAGCGTTTACCTGAGGGATCTGGGGTGCAGGCAGTGGAGCTGGGGTGCAGGCAGGGAGCCGGGGTGCAGGCAGTGGAGCTGGGGTGCAGGCAGGGAGCTGGGGTGCAGGCAGGGAGCTGGGGTGCATTCAGTGGATCTGGGGTGCAGGCAGGGAGCTGGGGTGCAGGCAGGGAGCCGGGGTGCAGGCAGGGAGCCGGGGTGCAGGCAGTGGAGCTGGGGTGCAGGCAGGGAGCCGGGGTGCAGGCAGGGAGCCGGGGTGCATCACCGTGTGGCGCAGAGCCCTGAACCGATGTGACTTTATGGCGCTGCGGCTGTGCCGATGCCAACCCCAGCGCTGGCAGGGCGGGCAGCTCTCCAGCGGGACAATTAGCTGATTAGCTAATTACCTGCACCTTGGCAGGGCCCCATGGCCCAGCGGCTGCTGTGTGCCCCGTGCAGGGCAGGCAGGAGGTGTGGGGCAGGAGTGGGGCGGGACGGTGACAGGGCCACCCACAGACCTTCCCGAGGACTTTGCTGGGGGCTTCCGGCAGCCCCCCCACGCCTGACCCATGGCTGCCGTGGGGCCAGCCCCCACTGGGGTGCCCCAAGCAGGAGGGCTTCACCCCGCTGCCTGCTCACGGGGGGGGTGGGGGGTGGGGCCTGCCTGCACTGCCTGTCGTGTGTGTCCCCCCCCCCCCCGGCACCGTCCTCTCTGATGTGTCCTGCCCCGTGGGGACCTGCCCTGTTGCCCCACGGGGCCACAACCCGGGGGACCCGCCCCACGGCGGACCCGTCCCAGGGGAGCCCACCCCAGCTGAGCCCCACGGGATCCGTCCCACCCGTGTGCCCGGACCCACGGGTCCGCTCCCCCGCACGGCGGCCCCAGCCCCCCCTCCGTGTCCCCCCCACCCCGCCTCCCGGTGCCGGGCGGGTTCCCGCGCGGGTGCCCGCGGCTCGGGGCTGCGCGTGACCGGCTGCCGCCGCCACCGCCGCCGCCGCCCGCTCCGCCGCAGAGCCCGGCCCGCACCGGCACCGGCACCGGCACCGGCAGGTCAGCGGGGGGGCTGCGGCCGGCTCCGGTACCGGCACCGGGGCCTCCCGGGCTGCGGCGGGCGGCGGGAGGGGGCTGGCAGCACCGCGGCCCGAGCACCGGGCACCGAGCCCCGAGCAGCGGGGCCGGCCCGGCGCGCTGCAGGCGGGATCCAAGGGATGCGGCGGCCGCACCGGCCCCGCAGCGCAGCCCCGCCGGCTCCCCCGCCCGCACCGCCGCAGCCGGGGGCGGTCCCGGCCCCGTTCCCGGTTCCGGCGGGGCTGAGCCGCGTGTGCGGCGGCGGCGGCGGCGGCGGCGGCGAGGCGCTCCGGGCCGGGCATCCCCGCCGGGATGCAGCCGGGGGACGCGCCAAGGTGAACGGTGCGCGCCGGAGCGGGGCCGCCGGCAGCGGGGACACCGGGGATGGAGCACCGGGGAGGGGACAGCGGGGACGGGGAAACCGGGAAGGAGACACGGAGGATGCTGGGGGTTGAGGCCACTAAGCACCGAGGACCACCTGCACTGGCGACACCGAGATGGGGACCGCCAGCGATGGGAGCACTGGGAAAACCGGGGCCACTGGCAGGAGAGACACCAGGGATGGGGACAGCTGGGAACGGGGCCAGCCCGAGCAGGGCCAGCCCAGCCGCTGGCTCCGTCTCCGGGCTGTGGGTTGCCAGGGATGGCTAGTGGCATGAGCCCCCCCCCCGGGCAACCATCGTGGGTCCTGGTTCACTGAACCCGCCCCCCCCCCCCATCCCCACAGGGCCAGCTGGGCGCTCACCATGGCTGCAGCACAGCTCGTCACCTGGGGGCTGCTCCTGGCCACCGCCGTCCCCGCCGGGGCCCGGGGGATGCTGCCGGTGGGGCTGTCCCCAGGGGGAACCCTGCAGCGGGGCAGGGACCCCCCTCATAGCCCTGCCTGGGGACAGCGGTGGCTGGGCCTGACCCCCGCCTGGGAGGCGTCAGGGGAGCCGAGCGGCGCCGGAGCCCCCGGGAGCGAGCGCTGGGGGGGCAGCGGCCCCATGCGCTGGTCCCCACCGCCGCAGGTGGGGGATGTCACTGGGGCCCCACTGGAGATGGAAACCACCGTGGCAAGCGCTGGCACCGGGGCCTGGCGGGACGGCGGCGCAGCCCCAGCCGTGGCAGAGGAGCAGCTCGTCGCCTGGAGAAGACATGAGGGTAAAAGCCAGGACAGTCCCCGGGGGGGGACCTGGCTGCCCCATGTCTTTACACTGGGGACACCGGGCCCTGAGGTGCCCACGGACACGGGGCCACCCTGGGCAGGGAAGAGTGCCACCGGGCCAGCCAGCACACCCAGCCCTCGGCCGACCGTGTCCACCATCACCCTGACCACCGTGGTGGCAGTGGGGACAGGGATGGGGACAGCAGGCACCCACGCAAGGGGACAACCAGTAGCAGGGGGACCCACAGTGGCCCCAGGTCACCCTCAGGGCACACAGCTCGCTCCAGCCACCAGCCAGCCGGTCCCGCTGGGCACTGTCCCTGTCCCCCACCCCACGGGCACGGGGCCAGCCTGGGGTCCCCACACCAGCCCTGGCACCGCAAAGCCAGTGGGCGGACAGGGAGACCTGGGTGGGCCTCCCAGTTCCTCCCTGGATCTGCCCAGCTCTGCCCCACGGCTGCCCCCCGCAGCCCCGTCCTGGGGGCTGGCTGAGCCCTGGACCCGGGTGCTCCCGGCCCACCAGCGCAGCACCCGGAGGGCTCCGCTCAGCCGTGCCACCGCCAGCCCCGGGGATGGAGCCCCTCGCATGGATCCTGGGCCGACGGGGCAGCGGGGACCCCAGCCCGCCCCAGGGTCTGCCCTCAGCACTGGCCCTGCACCACCGCCTGCCTCCAGCACGGCCCCCTCCAGCATCCCCGGCACAGGTAGGAGCCGGCGCGGCGTGGGGGACCCCTCGGCGGGGACTGAGCCCCCGTGGGTGCCAGTGCCCGGCTCTGCCCTCTCTCACAGGGCTGCTGCCTGAGGAGGACATCGGCTCCCCACAGCGCGTCCGGGGTGCCGTGGGTCCTGTGAGCACCCCAAACGCTACCGAGGCTGCCCCACGGCCAACGGCGCATCCTGTCACAGGGACATCAGGGATCAGGCACTCAGGTGATGCAGGGCTGCGTCCAAGCCCACCCGTTCTGCAAATGCTGTGGGAGCCCATCCCTGGGGCGTCGGGACTGGGGCGGGGGGGGGGTCTGGCAGCTATTTTGGGCCACCCGGCTGGGATGCGATGACGCCTTCAATCAGGATTGCGCCCGGCAATGGCCCTAATCTAGTCCTGCCCGCAGGGATTAGTGCTAAATGCCCGGTGAGTGGGGGCTTCGCCAGGGGGGTTGGTGACATGAGTGGGGACGTGCCACCCCCTGCACCACGGGTCCTGCCAGAGACCCCCGGGAGGTGAGGGTGGGCACAGCCCCAGCCAGCATGGGGCACCCCCCTGCAGCACCGGGGTGCTGCGGCTGATGCGTCCTGACCGGGGGGGGGGGGGGGGGGGGGGGGGGCGTGTAGGCAGGGGCTGGGTGCCACTGAC